AAACGCTTCCCAAGTCCCTGTCTTGAACTCGGTGAAATCGCCCCATTCACGAGCAATCTCTGTCTTCAGATAATGTGCCGCCCATTCGCATTTCTTTCAATCTTCGGTCACTCCTTTCGCCTCGAACAACTTCTCGAGTACCCAGAGATAGTTCTTCAACTCCTCGGGCTCGTCAGGCGACCAAGTCGGTGCATTGGGCGAATGTGGGATGGGCATCATTTTCTGTGTACTGTCCGTCATTGTGCTCTGATTCTCGGCAAGTATGTTCTCTATCTCTATCTCGGAGTTCTCAAAATTTAGTTCCTCTGCAGGGCGACTGCTGGAGGTCGATATCTCAGTTAGTGGACTGTCCCCACCAAATATATGTTGGTATCTAGATGTAGTCAGACCGTTTTGAAGGTCTTCGGAGTTCGCGTTTTGGGTATCTGGCCTCGAACGACTCTGACTGGCTGAGTTTTGCCCACCAAGGTGAGTAGTGATCTGACGAACTGTCTGTCTGATCGACTCTAAAGTCTCGTTCACTTGCTCTTGGCGTGCACGTCGGGTTCGTACAGATTCGCTCGAAGGATGGTCACAATCCTCAAGAAGGAAGTGCTCCCCATCAAAAAGATGAGAGTACTGTGCTCTTCTAGAAGTCGCACTTCTACGCCCCGAGTGCGTAGAATCCACAACGGAAAACTGCTTTCAAATTCAAAATCAAGATCCCACCCCCTCGCGGTGGGCTCCAGATGATGTGCTCGCTCGAGTGGAAAGGCTAAACCTCAAATCACACCCAAACAATCACGTCAGAAGATCTTGATCAGAATAGAAATAGATTTCGTTGTGTAGATAGAAAAAAGAAATAAAAAGAAATCTTCAAAGAGAGCGGTCTTCCGTCTCTCTCAGGTCGTCTCTATCGAAGGGAGCGGTCTTCCACCTCCCAAATCTCGTCTATGAATGTCAAGGGATGGTCTTCCTGTCCCCGGACACTAATTCTCTTAACTTAGGGTGGTCTTCCTTCCCTAAGCTCAAATTCTCTCAAAGCTTCCGAACGGTGGTCTTCCTTCCGCTCAGGAGCTCTCAGACGACTTAGACGACTGGTGGTCTTCCTTCCAGACGCCTAGGAAGTCTATCTATCGTTTGTCTTCGTCGCAGACTCTATCACTTATCGCGGACTCTATCAAATATCGCAATCGTGTTTTAAATGATTTATTAAACCCCCGAACCCTCGTTAGAAGCAACCTAGACCTTGGGACGATGCGCTGCGTGTGCAGTGCGATCCTGTGGTCTTTCCCGATGATGGGACGTGGGCTACTTGCCTTTCTACCTCCTCTGGGTGAGTCTTTTATATTCTTCCCCTCGGAATTCCGGGTCGGTTGTATTCCGAAGGCTTACTCAGCCTTGTATGCGCTCGTGATTATTCCTTGAGCTTGTCCAGCCAATGGGAAGGATTGGGCACGGACACGTACGCAGTTTTCAGAGGCGCCATGTGCCCCGAATTCCATAAAAGGTGTGTTTGCCTGGTTCCAGAATATTCCCGCGCAGCTGAATGACGCAATGTCACCAGGGCTAAGATCGTTCTTACTCATCCGTTAGTATCAAAAATTATCTCTGACCATTCTATTGGTCAATTCGCTACTGGTGATCGCGTGAAAGTGCAGGCATGTCTAGGCGCCTGTGGACATTGGTCATGCGACCATCACTCGGCCTAGGGGCTGTGCCATGGGATGCGCCCAAGTCTGCACTGCCACCACTCTCTCACGACCACACTCGGTCGTGTCTCTCTCATGGCAAGTCAAACTATCGAATTCATGACGTTTCATTACCAAAAAAGAAGTCGCCGTATCAGCACGTACTCCTACAAGACAAAGGAGGAGCGCATTGCCATCAGCAAGGCCCGACGCACAGCGGCTCGTGCTGCAGCCGAGGGGGCTTGAGGCCTAGAATTACATACATAATAGCTTTATTTAGAACGCTCTGTAAATACATAAATGCACGATCCGACTAGCGAAACTGTCTTTTGATGGTTGGAGACCGTCTTTTATTTGATGAACTGTTGGTTGTCAGTCCAGATATAGTTAAAATTTGATGAAAAGACGTGCCCCGACTGTCCTTTTTTTGACCAACCGTCCTTTTTGTGGCCCATGACGGCTTCGGAAATTGATGGCCAGTTCATCAAAGACGGTTTTTCGAGCGGCTTCCCTGCAAGTGTCACACTGGCATGGCAGCTCACCTCGCTCAGGCTCCCAGTTCGGATCAATGTACGTAAATTACAACGCGCACGCGTTGCGTGCGCGTCAAGGACACAATATCTATACACATCAAGTCATCCTAGCTTTCCTCTCTTCCTCTCCCACCAACACACCCCATTTCAAGAACAGCACAATGCACCCCTTCATTGTCAATATGGTATCAAAATTTAGGTAAGTTATTTACATTTTCTATTCCTTCCTTATTCTTCTCCCCTTCCTTTCCTCATTTCCCCTCGGCGATGCGCACACTCAGCGCTCGCGCACCATATCAGGCCCACGCGGCCTTGGTTTGAGTGATGGGACGCTAAGCGGGGAGCCAGCCCGTCTCGCGCCCACCTCGTGCCCGCCGTGGGCTGAGCCCCCACGGGTCGGCAACGCGGCTCGCTCGTTTGGGGCGTCCGCGTCACACCGTGACGAACCGTCCTTTTTGGCGGTCCGAGCCCTACTTCTCAAGCTGACTCTATGTTCGGCCTACCAGCACTTATTCTCTGGATACCATTGCTCAGTTTCTCAAGTAGCTTTCGTCTCACTTAAGACAAATGCTTAATTTTGAAAAATGTAGATGAAGGGGAGTCACCATGCAGTTTGTCGTCCCCTCAACGTTGTGAGCGGAATTTGCGGCCCGATGACAGCGATCGTTTCCAAAGATGGTTATGCCATTACCCCATGCGCCACAGAGCGACGGAAGCAAATTGTTTTCTAAATGCGCTTTAAGCCTCCTGGTGTTCAGCGACAATGGTAGGCTCTATTTAAATTTTACCCTAAAAAAAGATAAAGCCTGAGAGCGACATAGGACCTGTACTTCTACTTCTTTGCCGTTTTGCACAAGGGCTAAGTGGTCAGTTATATACGAATTGATTGGCATAGGGACCTATTACAGACTAAGGAATATGAGAATTATACTTGGTAAGGACTATGTATGTACAAGAAATAGAGCGATGGACGAGTACGTATGTCCGTGTACAATTCCATTGGAGCAGCATTACTATTAAAGGACAAATACCTAAAAGATGGATGAAAAACGGCATGGTGGACTCAAGGTGCTCTAGTCCTAGTGACGAGGTCAACCTCGTCCGCAACCCCAAAGTCAACGATGACGCCGGGACAGGACTCCAGGATACCCTGGAGGAGCAGCTCCTTCTGCGCAGGAGCGAACGACCCAGCACCCGACATCGTGTAGACAGCGAACCGTCTCAGAGCCGGGAACTGGGCAAGCCACTTTGGCATCTTGTACGATACCAAACGTGGAACGGCATACATCCTAATGCATGCTTCTATATGAGTGACGAGCGAGTGCACGCGGGTTGTAGTGGCGGATTTGTCCTCGGGCCCTAGGCTGGGGTCGACGTGGATCCAGTCCGATAGCGGAGAGCCGAAGGATAGCGAGAGATGCAGCTCCTTCAGGGAGCAGAGGCGGGGTAGGATAGGTTCTAGCGGGTCGTCCAGTATCGACGAAAGCGGCGAATTGTCCGTGCCGAAGAGGTGGACTAGTACTGTACAAGAAGAAAGAGCCGGGAGCGACCTTTTGTTCGAAAGCAGAAACGTAAGCCAATTAACGGGTGCTTGCAGATGCGTAATGTTCCGTAGTGCACTTTTGTCTTGAAACGACAACCGAAGGGTATCGGAGGGATTAGTAACGTGGTGACCGATATACAACTTTTGGAGTGAGCGGTGCCGTCGGAGAAACGCGATGAGGTCATGGGTCCAAATGGCACAATAGTCGAGGGAGAAGTCGGTTAGAGATGGCATAAAGATGTGGGGTAGAATAAGCGACCACTGGTCGATGTTTCCGCGGTTGTTATCCGTCGTCCATTGTTGGTTGATAGAAATCTTGGCGATAGAAGAGCTGTTAAGGGTGTTGAGAGTCCAGAGACATAGTAGCGGTTGGAATAGCACTGGAGTGTGTAGGTCGAAGGAGGTCAGATTCTGGCCGTTGTTCCGAGGAAGGCAGGACGAATGTTGGACAAGTCGCCTGCGGAGAGCCTGCCACCTGCCCGGATGATCGTCGACAGTTGACCCAAGCTGTTGATGATTATCACTTGAGCGAGGGAAGACATCCCCTCCAACGCTGAGCGAAAGGCACTGGCCAGAAGAAACGATCGTGTCCAGGACGTTTCTCGCGTGTGTCGAAGGAACAGGTATCCAGCGGTCCTCTTCGTGTCTCTCGTCTACCTCATCCCCTTCCAGAATAGACGGGAACCCTTCCACTGTTATCCCTGGTCGGTCGAAGACAACCACAACCTCCTCTACAATCTCCACCTTATCTAGCACCCTCTTCAGTGTCTCCACCTCCCCGACAAGCCGCCCATTATCCTTCTTGCAGTCAACGAGGTAGAACAATTTCCTTAGCTTTACCTTGAAGGGCGCCACTTTCAGGGCGCGAATCGCGTCCCATGCGTCGTGGTTGAACAATGAGAGGTACTTGCCTGGGCCTGGGCCCAACCCTTTGCGTGCGAGGTAGGATGGAAGGACAAGGTGGTGCAGCCGTCGGCAGACGAACGCGAGCGCATAGACAGAATCGTCGGGCAGCTCTTCGACGGCGGAGAGGATGATCTCGTTGGGCAGGTCCAGCAGCTTGACGCGCCACAGCATTGGGGTAAGCTGTACTGTGGGGTAATCCGCCTTGGAATCTTGCTGGGGGCGAAAGAGGTGACAACATTGAGGGGTTTGGCCTTCTAGGGTGGCGCTCGACAGGATAGACTGCCTGAGGCTGTTGGAACGCGAAGGGGGGACGCTCGGTCGACCTCGAAATGCATCCATCAAGGCCGGCGAACTGGGGAACTTTGTCAGTACAAAGTCCTGAGTGACCCGTTATGGGCAACAGAGACTAAAAGCCACTCACCTCTTCAAAAATACACGTTTAAAGGAACCTACAAGGACACAGTCAAAGAGAAGGGAACAACAAGCAGGGGACCCTGCCCGCTTAAATAAAAGTTGGCCTGACCTACTTTTAGACGCCTGTCATCAATCCAGGTAGCATTAGATGCGATTCGGGGTATTCAATCCCCAGCCTCTCGAGGCTGTACGTGCCGGCAGATCGAGGCGTGAAGAGGCCGCACCGAAGACCGCCGCGACTAGAAGGAACAGTACAGCTCGAGAGGGTCCTCAATATATACCGTCATAATAAGCAGCGGATGTCGTAAGCGTCTACCGTTGGGGTTCGCCTGAGAATGGTCATGGAAGAAATGTCATAGTGGTCCGAGAAAGGAGGGTGCCGTCACACCTATTCGGGTGTACATACGAACACGAGTTACGATGACTCGGCATCCGTGTCGTCTAACTACAGAGCACTGTGCATACTGCGCAACGGAGAGAAGACATTCGAGGGCTTCGAAGAATCCAGAGAGCTATAAAACGAGGCTGTGCATGAGAAACGCAATAATTACATATGATCAAGAGACAAGAGAAAATAGCTAATGGTACATCCCGACAACATGTCCCACCAGAGATGAGCTGTACGAACGGCAATGACCGTCGTACCACCAACCAACAAGAAGAGAAAGAGTGCTTATCTAGCAGCACTTTCCGCCCTGGTTGGCATTGGAGTCTACACTGGGTCCTACACTAATGCTGGCCTTGGGAGGTTCGATGTTCGATGTCGACGACTCCAGTGACTTGCTCGAGACGATGCGGTAAATGTCTGGAAGAGCCGTAAGTCCCAGAGAGCTACGGATAAGAAGGATCGACATACCAGTGAGAATAGTTTGGAAGGCAGCTTCGACATTCGAGGCGTCCAGCGCCGATGTCTCGATGAATGACAGACCATTCTCAGCTTAAGGGTGTGCTATCTCAGCACATTATATTTACGGACAAAAAGCAAAACTCACTAGAGAATGTCTTCGCCTCGTCCGTAGGTACAGCTCTCAGATGCTTCAAATCGCTCTTGTTTCCGACCAACATGATGACGATGTTAGAGTCAGCATGGTCCCGCAGTTCCTTCAACCACCGCGTCACATTGACGTAAGTCGCATGCTTGGCGATATCGTAAACGAGGAGAGCGCCAACAGCACCCCGATAGTAGCTGGAGAGGGGTAACACACGATTCAGCGCACGACGATGTGATAGGTGAGCAAGGTGGACTCACGCAGAGGTGATAGCTCGGTAACGTTCCTGACCAGCTATACAAGAGTCGTGTTAGCACCAGCAGCGAAGAAGCCGGGTACGATGGGTCAGCCAGAGGGTGGTTGCCTCGTGACCGCAGTTGACCCAACCAGCGAGACGACGCACCAGTGTCCCAGATTTGAGCCTTCACCGTCTTTCCATCGACATTGATTGACCTGGTAGCAAACTCTACGCCAATAGTCGACTTGGACTCGAGATTGAACTCGTTACGTGTGAAACGCGAAAGCACTGCAAAACGAACATGGCACCACGGTCAGGCCGTCGATAGCAAAATTCCACATGTTTTGGGGCACATACGATTGCTGAAAAGCCATATCTTGTTAGAAAATAGTCCAGGAAGACAGAAAAAATCAAGAACGTACGACTTCCCGACGCCAGAGTCACCAATCAGGACGACCTGTGTGCTAGTTGTCAACCACAACACCTCTTGCTCCAACCACTGCTATGTACCTTGAAGAGATAGTCGTAGTTGCTGCCTTCAGCCATTGTATGTTGTCAGCGGGATTGCGAAGAGATAAAGCGGGGGCGGTGGGCGATGTTGAGCGCAATGAAGAGAGGGTGATGCGTTGGCGGAGCTCCAAAGCGAAGCGCGCAGGGCCCACAGATTTCAAACTCAGCGCACGGATGAGCCGAACACATGTTGCAGGTTGCCACCGCCTCGCGATTCCCTCCGTTCTTCCCGTCGAAACTTTTATACAACCGGGCACCATTTCACAGCTTTGAGGATGTTATCTGTGAAGGACGCTTATATGCTCCAGGTGATGGCCTTCCCCATCTTTACCGGCGCTCTTAAATTTAACTGTTCGATTCCCTGACTCTGTAAGGACCTGGGGTCTGTTATCTCCAATTCTTTGACAGGTGGACGCCAAGTTTACCATGAAGATCCCTTTACGTAGGTAGTGTCACGCATTATGAATATAAAGTATTTCATCATTACAACCAGCATTTCATTTACAAGCATTCGTACAAATGGAAAATGACGACGGTTGGAAGGTATACGAAAGCCAGACTTACGATGTCCTATTTTCGGACTGTCTTTCCAATGGAGAGAGTTGATCGATCCGATCTACCTGATAATGGAAGGCGTCTAAATTGTCGAGAAGCGCCGTAAAGGTATGCACGCTCCCTGAACGTTGACCAACCTGCATGCCATAATTGAACCTTCAAGTCTACACTAAATCGACTTCCTTCTCGAATTCACGGTGAATGAGGTGATTCCTATGCACAATTTTGCCATCAAGGACGACGCAAACACCTTCATTTCCAGGAAAAACGAAGCTCTGTGGCCCCAATCGGTCCACCGGCCCGTCCAAGTGCTGATTAGATGGTCTCGACATCGTCGAGCTCGTGCTTTGCTTGTACCACCACCACCACCCCACCACAATGTCCGTCTCCCATTCCAAACGCGTTTGCCAGATAATCAAGGTGCGCCTCCGAAACTTCCCAGCACCGTCTACCAGATTTCTGATCAAAATGCGCCACACATCACAGTTAAAGCCAGAAGCCGAGGAGGAGTATATCAAAATTCACGCAGAAGTGTGGCCAGGCGTCCTTGCCGCTCTCGAGCGAGCGCACGTCGTGGACTACTCGATCCATTATTATGCTCCGCTCCAACTCCTCATCGCCAACTTCAAGTATATCGGAGCGGATTACGAGGGGGACATGAAGAAAGTGGCGGAAGATCCGGAGACGCAGAGATGGTGGAAAGTCACGGATGGGATGCAGGAGAGCTTCAATCAAGGTGCGGAAGGGAGTGGGAAGGAGGTACCCTGGTGGGCGGTGAGTCTTGGATTTCTTCGATGTTCACCTGATTGTTCACGACTCCGCGAAGACGTTACCTGAGGTCTTTCGTTTTGAGGGCAAGGCGTAATCGCATATCAAAAGGTTCACGTACATTCGTTTGTAAAACGATTCGCGAATGGAGGTCTATGAGCACGTAACTGAAATCGTCATGAGATTAGGTATTATTTTGAAGAAGGGAAGCGTCCGTGTCGACGATAGGTAGGTATAAACGCGACATCTACAAAGTCTAGTACAGTATGAGTCACAAGTCATGATCACCTGAAATTAAAAGCTTAGATAGCGGTAGCGAGAACAGGCAAAGCGGAGAAACAACGGAGTCCTTACGGCACATCTTCTCCACAGGCACTACCCCATCACGACAAACGGCCCACTTAATCCATAAAGGTGGGCTTCTCGCTGCTTTTCTTGCATCCTGAGTCTATGCTCGAGGATGAGGAACGAAGTGATAGTTTCGATGCGCATGGTGTCCGTGCTGGCGTTGATCATAAGGCCTATCGTTGGTGGTTCGAGCACCGTCCGCAGGTAGGCAATGGGGAATTCAGTTTCATCCTCTGGGTATAGCTGAAGAGAATGGTTACACCTGCGATAACAAGAGAATGAATTGTGGACATACCGCGAGCCGATGTGTTTCGTCCGATCTCCAGGTAAATCGCCCAGTCTCCGTCTCAATTGAAGCAGTGGGTCTATAGCACGGAGAAATGAGTCAGAATCATCCTTTCTACCACTGATTAGAAAGAGCGCTTACCCACCTCGATCCAGGCACCTTTGTCGCCTTCAACCACTTACTAATCCTCACCGACTTCCCTCTCCGGTGCGCAAACACCACGACATCTGGGAAGATCTCCCTCCTCTTTACCGTCGCGACAACCCTCTGCTCCGCCAAATCACACAAATCCGTGCGCGTGACGTTTTTGTTCGTCGTGATCTTGTACATTGGACCTGCACGGGAGTAAAGTGTTGCATTGATGACGCTGTTGCGGTCGAACACGAGGCTGAGGGACGGGGCGTCATTGACGAGAGTCGAGGTAGACGCGAAGGCTTGCTCTTCCGTGTTCTCCGTGTTCTCCGGCACATGCGAGTCGAGATCATAAGGCCCCCAGCACGTCGACGAGGAGGAGAGAGACGAGCGGCTGGATGCCATCTCGACATACACGCAGAAGAGAGGGCCGAAGGCGACGAAAAGGTTGGGTGTGCGGGGAAGTGCACAGTGGGAGGAAAGCGGCGATGGGGGCGGTCTGGCTGGATGGTCTCTCCCGCGCAAGGAGCCCTTCAGGTACATATAGTACTGCCCACATACCGATTAAAGAGATATATGTCAATGTCAGATTGGCACGCCTTTGAAGGAAGCTAATTTTTCAGGTACGGCATGCATCGTGAGATGCTCGAGGTGCACTCTAAGTACACCTGTACTTGGACGCTCGTGGCGATCACGGGTTCGTCTCTTCCCTGTAAAAAGGTGGTTAGTAATCTAGGAATCATTTATGTAAGGGTTCGACAGACTCATTGTATGATACCTATACTTCTTGGCCTGACGAACTGCTGAAGATATATGTCTTGGGAAAGGCTCCGCAACCAGCAGGGTTTAAAGCGTCTCGAACCTGAATGACGATTGTGATTACGAAAAGAATACCTCCGGTCGTCCGTTTTAGGTCGGTAGGCCGTAACTAGGGGCACATGTCAGGTCCCAAAATCCTCAGTATACGGATCGCAGTCCAAGGGCTGTACAACGAATGCGTTCACTAAAAAGAGTATGATGCACAGAAAGGATACTCGCATCGAAGAGAAAGTAGAGGAGCTGGTCGGCCGCCGTTCTACATTCATCACGTCATCTCGGATTTCTGGTGTGGTCGTCCTAGGAGGCTGAACCATTCCTACTGAGCGAGAGACTAGCCCCAGCAGCGCCGGTGCGGGGCAAGGTCATCTTCCTCCATTGCAAAGGCATGTGATCCCAAGTCTTGAGATGGTGAATGCGCCACCGTCCGACTCATCGGCCGTTTCTTCTCGGGACTTGCGGCTAAAATCGTATCGAGAGCTCGGATGCCCATATCTGCGCGTTTGATTATTGTGTCATGAACGAGCTGGCCTACATGGCACGCACCTTTAGCGATACTGGTCATCTTGACAAGAGAGCAATGGCGCGAGATAAAGGGCGAAAATAACACATAGAAGTCTTCGAGAAGCATAACAGCAAACATTTGAACATGAATGGAGGGGAGAGAACGAAGGAAAGCCCCAGCACCATGATCTTGCCACCCCGCTGTCGCGGCCGACGCTTTCGGGTGTGAGAGTCGAGTCAGAGAGGTATAACGAAGTCGGAATTGCCGTGAAAAGTTTGTGAACCAATCGCTCGACGTTTGGCCGTAGCGACTTCGAGCCGACGACGCGTACGCGTCATAGGTTCTGTCTGCGACATGATCACCGATATCCGCAAAGATTACTCATAAGGGCTCGAGGAGCGGCCTTTCGGAACCTCCAGCTGCTCAAGGGGTGGCAAGGCTTAGATATCGCCCCTGGAAGTCGCCTTAATTGATGTCGGGAGCATGTTCGAAACTCTGGAGCACGATCTATGGGTGAAGAATGTACAAGTCCTCTTGAGAGGTAGTTCATCGATTCTCAGTCCTTAGGAAAACTCAAAGCTATGTATGGCAAACACGGTGAGACTAAACCAAACGTTGGCTTAGCCACAAAACGCACTTACTGGCCATTCAAGTCGTAGACTGCAGATTGGTAGTTGTAGTCTTGAGAGCCTGAGTGACTGGCAGGGTGATAGTTCGGGTTCAAGAGGTGACGCCCATCGTGACGCCTCGTCCGAGTCAAACTTGTCCTCTCACCGTCATGAATATCCTGAACTCACATCCACCTCTCCGCGGCTGCTCGTTGTCAGGCACGAATTTTCACTAGCACCTTGAAGACTCGTCTCCTTTCCAGGTCGTCCATCCGGGAAAACCCTCCCCACAACGAGGCCGTAAGCTGTGCATCTTGGTCTGCAGTGTGGTTGTCATAGGCGAAGGGATGATCATGGCGCACGCTGTATGCAGGAATATCGCAAGAGACGCGCTGATGACGAACGCGCTAGCCTCAAGGACGACAGCTTCCTCTCGAGTCTCGAATCCATCTCACGGGCAAAAAGGCAATCTTCGTGGGCATCCTATTCTTAAGAATCCGGAGCTGTTGCAGAATATATTCGCGGATCCGGCCTTAAGAAAGCAAAGTGGTGAAGCATGGCTCACGAGGACGGGTCCTATGGCCGTCAGGCATGGCTTGTTGACCTTCACAGGGCGACGATTCTGACCGACTCCAGGACGACTCTGAATCCGCTGCTTGGATTCTCTCCAATAAATGTGCCACCAAGAATAACTCGCGCCAAAGTACTTGGCAGTAATCGAAAGAGATGATGCCTGGCAAGTATTCGGTATTACAAGGTGAGTAGCTTGCTCACGTTTCCTAGCGCCATTGAACCACTTACGAGGTCCGATTTTCTCTTCCTTCAGCGGATTCGAACACCTTGCATCTTTCGTCTGATCCCACGGGTCGACTCGGACGTTGGCTGGTGAATCCAAATGAACATGGGTAGAAGCGGTTGGCAAGATGGAGACTCGGCGTCAAGCTTTCTATCTTATCAAACTTTTGTAACGAGCGTTATTGAACCGCAATCGCTCGTTTGTCCTGACTATTTGTTTGTGCTGAAAGCCTAAATGACGTGTTGAACTTCAGTGCAACTCGAACACTCCTAGCTTCCTCTGCTGTGTCCATCTTTGTCCTGTCCGTTCTCCAGCACCATGGCAAACTACCAGGCAACGAACGAAGTCAACTACGCTGGGCTCCTAATTTGGGCAGTAAATTCGAAGGGGAATCGATACGACGTTAAAGAAATCAACCCACATCCTGAACGACAGGAAGTCACGGTCGTTTTTGGCGTGAATGTCCGGAAGCCTTGTGTATGTCGCATTCGTTTAGAGATTCACGTTCCTAATGAATATTGGCAGATTCGCTTCCATATTTTCTGGAGAACACTCAGAGATCCAGGATACCAGAGTGTTTGTCAGGTCTCGGTCTTCCCTTCAAACGCGGAACCTGCGTCCACGATATATCGCTTCACGGGGAGAGAAGCGGATCAGACGTACTTCACTGGATATTCCAACACGACGAACGGAGAACTGCTACGCGCGGAAGCAAACGATCAGCTGTACAGCGTAGGTGGGGCAATTGTTGATATATTCTCCAGGAGATCAAGACTGACGTCGACTGCTAGGGCCCTCGTTGATCGCCACCGTGCGATTAGACTTCAGACAACTCAAGGACAACCTCCCCACTGAAAGCATCTTGAGGCTACAAACCCTCAACCAACAGTTCGGTCTCCAATCCCTCGATAACATCGAAGGCGGTCGACAAGGTGTTCTCGACAACAACATTCCCTATGCGACGTTTGTTCTAGAATTCCGTTGTGCTAATGCCAATATGATGCCCGGAACGATTCCTGCAGCCATTGGAGGGAAAACGAAGCGGGGAGGAGGCACAGATTCTGCAGGGCATGATGCAGAATTTCCTGTCATTGCTCACAAGAGAGCGCAAGTCGCTCCGTCTGGTAAGTTCTTTTGCCTCCTTTTCCAGGAATTAGCAAAGACCAAGGCACTCAATGCGCTTTGACACATCAATGCGATTTTTAGGGCGTATGAACACAAGAAATCCTTCCGGCTGCATCGTTTCGCTCAACCAAGCTACCTTACCCTTGAGCGAGGATGGTAGGGCAGCTGATCCACAGGTAACATCTTCGGATTCCCTCTGCATCCGAGCGGGGCGCTTATCTCCACTGGATTTCTGTAGCCGCGAGCTCTTGCGTCGATTCGATCAAAGAGGACAAGAGGCATCGACACCGTTCAAGCGCTTCGGGCGGCAAATGCAGAGGAAGCCGCTTTGGAAAAAGAAGCAGAGAAGGCATTGAAGGTACGTCTTCGGGGCTGAAGCGCTGAAGATTGGAAATACGATACTCAGTGACGGCATTCCTAACCAGGAAAAGATCGAGCGGATCGAGCTCTTGCGTCAGGTTCTTGCGGAATCATAAATCTGCCACAAAATCTTCCTCCCTTTAGTCCATCTCGTCTTGAGTGCTGTACATACCGAACAACTCATGTATATAGATTCCCATTCTCCGAATCCCCTGAAATATGGCATCTCAAAAACAAGGCACGTGCATGCTGTATTCCAAACCGGACCACTCTTTCGCTTTTCTCCAGGCTGGAAGCACCTACATTCATATCGTGAGGCTTAGATTTCGCGATCGACAATCACTGGTGATATCACGTCTGTAAAGCGCTGGCATTTTTTTGCATCACTCACAGTTCTATCTTTCCTGCCCGACTCTGCCGTGACTGTGTGGCTAGTACGACAAGCAACCCCGATCGAAATTTGACTCAGGTGTGGACCACCAAGTGGTACTTTACTCTAGATCTATCCTTCCTGCGTTGACCTTCCTTAAGTCAAGTTACATTTTGATTTGGCCGCCGATCAGCTTCCAAGAATGTTGGCAAGCGGCTCTCTATTTTGACAGCTGCCAGAGACCTATACTACTGTTCCCCTCTCGTAATCCTTGAATCGGGGTTCTACGTTTTTGCCCCTGGCCCAGTCATGCAGTCCGATAGAGTCGATATTACCCTCGCAGTACTTATCGACGACGTATACGCTGTGATTTCCATCATTGTGGCTGGCATCGTTACTGTGCCCGATTGCAGTTGAATCGACGGAGAGCAAAAAAAGCCTGTTTGGCGGACATAGCTCGCGCTGCTTGGAAACGCTGACGCGATGGCTGTTCATGCTTCATAGACGTCGACGAAAGGCAGTTATGGGGTGCTTGTCGCGATATAGGTTTGTCCGACTCGTGCACCGCTATACCGCGCGCTTGTGGCCATACGAGATCAGGGTTTCGAGATATGTTTGCAATATGGATCGTTCTTAATTAATGACTGCTCAGGCAAAATAGATACATATGACTCTGGCCTTGGAACAGGAAATGCGTAAAGCATGAAATATTCCATCCATCAATTTAGCGCCCATTTAGCGCCGACGCCGACGGTCACGGCAGAAATAGCGTCAGGGTCAAAAAATTGTTCTGGATACAACGAGAGCCTTCAATCACAAGGATAACGGCTCTTCTACTTACATGCGTCAAGACATCTGTTGATATGGAAAGCCTAAATGACGACCGTGTTGCGACCGTGATGATTTCTTTGATGTCCAGTATTTATCCATGGGCCTCAAAACGCTCGTTCGCTTGTTTACTTGCTCCTTCCTCGAATTGACATCTCATACTCCTTTACAAATGAGTGCGAGTGAGACTTCGAATCAGGTGAATGCCTCCGGGTTTACTGTCTGGGCTGAAAACACGGTCGGCAAAAGGTACCAACTCGAATCATTTGGGAGCACCGACGGAAAGGAAGTTAGGGTGGTCTTCCAGGTCACTCTCCGTAACCCATCCGTAGGCGTCTGGTCCAATCTTTGTTATCCACGCTGAGCATGAGGTAATAGATGTGCTTCCATATATTCTTGAAGGTGGATGAAGACCCAGGGCACCTCTCGCTATGTCGAGTTACGCCATTCCCATCCAAAGATCAGCCTCCGCGGCACCGTTTTGTGGACAGAAACAAAGACGCTATATACTTCACGGGCTATAACATTGGTCGCCGGGCTCCGAGTGAATTTTTCAAAGCGCATCTGAGGGATCAAGCCCCAGGTGTGTTGCTTGAATCACTACGCTCCGGGGTTACTGCTATATAACTCACCCCCACATTGCATTTGGTAGGGTCGACCGTAGTCGCTAAAGCTCGACTCGAGCTCATAAAACTGAAGGAGGGACTCTCTGACTCCATCTTTGCGAAACTGCGAGCTCTCAACAAGACACGGCTTACCTTTGGAGGAAATTAAGCGAGACGAAACGAGTCTCCTTGCTGATGAAACTCCCTACAAAATCTTTTCGTTTGAATTCAATTGCTTGAACGAAAACAGGGCAGTCTTGACAAAATTACGAGGACAAGCCGGAGGTCCAGGAAAAAGGAAGCGCCGCCAGACATACAAGTATGATGAGTCGGAGGAGGCCGAAAGTGAAGAAGAAATTTCGATTGTAGATGGGCCCGTAACGAAGAAAGGCCGATCTGTGATTGGAGGTACCTTTGCCTATATCTAAAATCTTTCTGTGGTTCTAAGCAAATCACCACGTCTTACTAGGGGAATTCGAAGACAAGACAGCCAACACCGTGACTACCCGAAGACCCGGTCGCCCGTTACTGTACGACACCCGGCACAGCTCAGCTTTCCCGGCCCGTGCGATAGAGGCAGGTTGATATTATTATTTGGCGCACCGACAGCGGCTCACCAGAAATTTCCATTCCAAGGCTGATTCCAAGACGGCAATCACTTTGGAAGAGATACAAGAATTCCAAATGCTGAACGAACAAGAGTCCGCACTGAAGAAGCGATTTGCTGATGTTCTTCAGGTGTGTCTATACATTGATACTTGTTGGTTGAAAGTAATATCTTTCGTCAGGAAAAAAGATCAAAAATACAATTCTTGAACAAAATTCTGCCCCCTGAGGTCTAAGGCCTGAAGTATGAATGAAAGCCGATCCTCGTAAAAGCCAAGTCGCATGAGAAGCACATTGTAGGGGACGGGCTATTCAAAGTTCACTGTACTTTCATCTAAAATCGAGCGTTGATACTTTACATTGTGTCCAAGAGCGATTAAACGATGCAACGCCTGGAGAGAGTGAAGTCGGTCAGTGGCCCACCCGAACCCGGTTCACTCCCACTCACATTCATTCATTATGTTGATCTTCAGCGTCGGTGCGAACACATTCTCGCACACGAAAAATGGCAAAGCCGTCCTCATCAATTCTTCCACGCGAGGAATAGATTCCCGTCTGACTTTTGAGGGCTCACCGACTCCAGCAGCTCGGGCGAGCCGGAGGTTTATTTTCACCTCGTTCAGGTTACTGAAATGAGTCGAAAGGGCATGGTTGAGCGGTGCACACGCGTTCTGTTCTAGGGGTTCAGCCAAGAGCCGAAGGAACGACGCCATCGGGAACTCAGTGGAGATGGCGATGTGGTGGCTCAGTTTCGGTGTTTTCAGCTTCTCGTTTGCTGTCACCTCGCGGAAGATTTCCGCGATGGAAAGAAATGCCTCCCTCGCGTCTATTGGCCCACCACAGATGTCGAAGTGAAGGCGTTCGAGTTTTTTCATCCGGGAAAGATTGAATGCAGGGGGTTCATCTTCTGATATGTAGGAGGCGATGAAAAAGGGTACCTGAAGAGGACGAAGGGCAAAGCGTACTATTGCAGTATTCAATCGCGAGACTTTCTAGGGACTTTTCCGTTTGAAGGAGCAGCGCATTACAGCCCTTTGCGGAACTTAGGGCGCGGGCCGTTTTTTTTCCAAAACGGGTCGAGCTGATGGTTCGAGCGGGATCGGGACTCGTTCGTGGAATAACTTCGTCAATTTAAGCCCGTTTCGAATAAAAATACAATCGTTGGACTCGGATTGAAATTATGCATTGAATAGTGTCCAGAAAGGTGGGGTAGAGTGAGGGAATGAGAGGAATATTGACTAGAGGAAGATTCTGATGAGGTGGTGGCCATTCACTTTCGTCGAGCTCTCCTCTTGGGCTAATTCTCCCTTGAGCAAAGCTGTCTTACAATGAGAGATCATTTACATTAGAAATAGGGCATTAAATGAGAGCCTAGGGCGAAGTTGGTGGGGCAACGCCGCCGCTCACAATGCACATACATACGTGGATGAGGGGATGTCCACTTTCCAACCTGAAAACTACCTAGAAGCTTCACCTTTTTACAAAATCATTATGTACTTACTCAAACTAAACTGCAAATATCTTAGGTGAGAGAAATACAATGAAGACAGCCCAACACCAGTTCTCGTAGGCCGCTCAAACACTGTCTTTACCCATGTCCAGAGGACGCTGCAGGCCTAATCGGTCATAGATACGGTTTGTTCGTGTCAGTGTAGCACCAACATGTCAAGAACTCTGTCCATTTCATGGTTCCAGACAGTCCCAGGTCCAGATGAAACCACTGGGGGAAGCCCTCGCAATCTCTCGCAATCCGGGCATGCTATACTCCATACATCGGGGATTATTTTATTGAATAGTGTATTCTCCATGTAAAAGTATCTTCTGTATGCAAACTACGTGAAGACGGGTAATGAAAATGCTTGATTTTGTAGCCACCTCATTGAAGGGGTGCAAAATGAGCACGGATGAAATGCCTCAGCCTACTATGACATTCCTCCCACATATTATACACCATTCAATGCAGAATTTCAATCTGAGTCCAAAGATTGTATTTTTATTCGAAACGGGCTTAAATTGACGAAGTTATTCCACGAACGAGTCCCGATCCCGCTCGAACCATCAGCTCGACCCGTTTTGGAAAAAAACGGCCCGCGCCCTAAGTTCCGCAAAGGGCTGTAAATACATCTATCGAGCGTGCCTCAAAGTTCGAAAAGGACAGATTTCGCAGTCACGCGAGGGAAGAGTCGGCCACCCATTTCGGGTTGACAGGGCTAGGGCTGGATGAACCCAACATTGGTAGTAGCTCCCAATCAAGTATGTCCAGGTGGAGACTGTGCAATTGAGGGTACTGTACCGATACGACCTTCTCTTCAAGGCTAGTGACGCGTGACATCCGAGAAGAGATTTGCAACTCTTTAAACTTGCCCGGGACGCGTGACCGAAGCTGAAAGTCTTCACGAAGTTGGATGAAATATTTCCATATATGGTATGCCCGAATGCCCCGCAGCCTGCAGGGCCCGAAAAAATGTGTCACTCTTCAAAATTTCAAATTGCCTCGGGACGCGTGACATTTCTCAAATTCTCTTCTCTTCAAACCCCTTCGTGACGCGTGACAGAAGAGTAGTATCGGTACAGTATTTCGTACTGCACACCAATGTGACATTGGATGAGAACGAATCACATTTACAGGCCTCGGGACCAGGGTCGCACGATACCTCGTCCAGTACTAGGTTCTCGATGTGACTTCCTAGGAGAAGGTTGTTGGGCAATCCCAGGAGGAGCTTCAAGTGGAGAATCTTGACATGAGGTGATCGGATGAGGCTGTATAATGAATGCTTGAACTTGCATTCCAAATCGAACCACCACGCGTCATGAGATATCGCGAACTCCTTGATTCCATGCCCTGGTTGATGAAGAAGAGGGAGGATGCTGGATAGGGTGCGTTCGAGTTCTGGTAATATTGTGGTCTCCCAGTCGCAGGATATCGAGAAACTCTCGACCAGGGAGGCGACACTCGAAAGGCCACCGGTGGAGGGGCAGGTCAACACTTCGTAAAGCCTCCTTGCGATCGCGATTGCTGGGCCGGATTCGAGCTCATCGAGCTTGAGTTCAAGGCGAGCAAAGAGGTGTTTACGGGCCCGACGTGCACACGAGTGCGAGACAAGGCTGAATGCCCCGAGAGTGCGACGGGCCAGATGTCCTTCTAGCAAATCGTGTACGGTGTCGATACATAGATCCACGATCTCCACTGGAAAGTATGGGTTCGGCTGGTTCAACGGCTTTCCAGCAGTGGGTGCCCCTCCAGTCGGAGATTCGGGAGACATGGTGGCAGGAGGAGAGCTGCAATCTGTTGGTCACAATGGAACATGGATGACTAAGCTGGACGACACCCCCAGATTTTCCTTTCACCGTCCGAATAAGGAAACGTCACCGGGCTAACGGTGTGGCGCATGAGCTAAAGTCCCCATCTCTTCCGAGACGCCGCATGACAAGGAAGGCTTTCTGATAATAGAGGGAGTTGGTAATAATGACAAAATGACGCGACCGTCCGCAGATGACCGCAATAACCCTTTTGATGTTCTCATTGGCTGGCCTGACAAATGATTTCTTTGCACTTCAGTGAAGTGCACATATGCGATCAATGTGGGTAGAACTTGAAGTTACGTGAATGAGACAAAAGAGCCGTTTTCTTTGCTGACCGAGAGGCTAGTCAGAGTTCGAGTCTGAAAAACGTCAAGGCAATCAGTTTTGTGATAACTCCACTGCTTATTGGCCTGTCACTTCACAAGGCAGGACAAATTAATCCAACCAGGTCTCGTTCTCGCTTTCGTCTTCGTCTTCATCCTTGCTTTCGTCTCCGTTCTCGGTCTCGTCTTCATTACCTTCCTCCTCGTCTTCTTCATCTTCATCTGCAACAGGAAACTGGAGAACCAACTCCGGCACCTTCCCAGTACCCGAAAAGTGGGGCATCGCCGTTCTCATCAACCTCTCGACACGCTCCGACAGTTCCTTCGTCGCCTCCTCATTTCCCTTGCAGCTAATCGTACATATCGTCATCACCACCTTCTTTACCATCGTCATCTCCGCGATCACTCCATTCAGCTCAGTCCACCCGTTCAACTCAGCAGGCATTGTCAGCGTCTTGATCAAGGGCGGCAGGGAGGGGTCGTCCGGAGACCAGGTGTGGTCCGTGATGAAGGTCATGTCGAGAGTGTGTAGGGAAGGAGGAGCACAGAGCATGGACAGGAGGATGATGGTGATGCGGAGGCCGTCGGAGTAGGAGACTTCGGAGGATCCATCGTATGTAAACTGAATTTCGGTCAGGTTGGGCATTTTGGAGAGATCGACGGGGACAAGATATTCTGGCTGGAAGTAGGAGTCTGGGAAGGCATCGAAGTTCAGATAATGCGTGATGAGAGTGCGTATATGTGTACCTGAACCGAAATTCAGACTGATCGTTTGAAGGGTTTTCTCCATGCGTCTGAGCAGGGGAACCAAGTCCATATAGTCGTCGTCGGTGTCGATCGATGCTGAGAATTCGGAGACGAGATTCAGAGCGGACGTCGTACTCGTTTCCAATAGAGGAATCACATGGTCGGAATCCGTGAGCCGCACCGACAGGTGCTTGAGTTGGGGATAGGTCCTCTCGTGCACTGGGTACCGAGATGAATAGAAGCAAGGCTGATCGTCGGACTCAATGGAATCCAACGTCAAATCCTCTATACGGCTTCCAACAAGAAGCATCGTGGGCAGCCCCAAGAAACCTGTTAACGAAAGCGTTTTAAGTCGTGGCGACCGGAGCAAGTCGCTCAGTGAGTGGCGAAGGCCCAATCCGATATTTCCCCAAACCTCCTCGTAAGACAGAAATAAATCCTCGATGCCGTGCTCTGGTCCGTGCAACCCTTGAAAAATTGCTGACAGCACATTCTCGGCGCGAACAACGACGCTGCGTTGCGCGCACCAGATGTCCACAGAGAGGACCCTGATGAAAGGAGCGATGCCGCTAAGGTGACCTCCTGACCCGAGAGCTCTCGGTGTCCATGACATGATTTCGTAGATATCTTCTGCCTGTTCGATGGTTTCTGTTGTTACGCGTAAGTCGACGCGTTCGAAGAGATATTTTCGGGCCCGAGCGGCGAAAGCGCGTGACACAAGGCTGCATGCGCGCAGGGTTGGGGATTTGGAGTTTATATACGGGCAGTCGTAGAGCGCGTCGACAAAAAGATCGAGTATTTCGGGAGGAAGACATGGCTGGTAGCTGTCGAAATGCGATAAGGAGTTCATGGAAGGCCGTGAAGCCGACATCGAGCAGACCAAGCCTGACAAAACACGCAATCGGCGCAACGGCGCAACATACGATGCCCGGCCCGGGCGACCTTACGTATGCGGATTAGGTAACATGGCTAAGACTATGCTGTTGGCCGCTTTGCACCTTGTCCCCTCCACCGTTCGTTCTGTTTGATCCAGAGGTGTCTACGTGCAATACCCATGCGCGTCATAAGAGACGACAGCTCCGACAGCTTGCGGATTCAACGCTACCAACAAACATTCGGCATTTGCACTTTCAGCTTGCAATTCCCTGAATCGCTCGTCAATGAACTTCACGAAATCCGTTGCTGCAATGAAAGCATAAAAGCATGGTATCCCAGCCTTTTGTCATGGAAAGCATTTTGGTTCAGGCAAGAATCCAGAGAATGATGAAGATGGTGAGGCTTCCCACTCGTTCCACTCTGGTTTTGCTCATCCGCTTCACCAGTGTTACCTTCGGACAAAACGCACCACATCGCATGAGGAGGAATCCTTCCAAACGCCACCTCGCATCGGCCCCTGCTATTGGACATTTTTAGCCAGAACCCGCAGCGCAAAAATGCCGCGGACAACTACCGCAGTTCATCCAACCTATTCAGCGAACACTTCCCCATTAACCGAAGATCGCAACAAACGATGCAACCAAGACATTTTTTGTGCGGAGCCATCCCTCGAAATCACACATCTATTCTTGGAGGTAGGCTTGTGTTGAGGCAGCAGTGTTGTCCTCCCACCCTATATATAAACAGTGAATTCTTTTTCTACCAGAGGTAGTCATACCGTGGTCTTCGCACCCATCTAGGGTTGACGCTATCCGAGAAGAAGCGTTGCTCTTACTGTCCAAGGGTCAATTTTTGCTGAACCTCGGGAGGATACTGGAGCATGATTGGCTGTGGCCGTGATAACGAAATTCTTACTATACCCCTCGAGATTCGGTGATGGCAATATTTCAGTCCTCGAGAGCTGCATTGGGTACGAAGCGGGATATTTAAGGGCCCTTCCTCCTTGTGGCCCTTCCTCAGGGCACGTTTTCTGTTGCCGACCTTATCCCAGACATGAATTGGCGTCCACTGCTTGCGTTCACTGGCCTCCTTGTGCCTTCGGTCCATGCAGTGATTCGGTTCGGCTGTGCTCAACTTGTTACTCAGCGTTTCGACCCGTACGCACCATCCATCTCTCAAGTGTAGCGTCGTTCTTACTGAATCACTCTTCGTCAGGTTGGTTACGCCAGGCCAAGTTTCTCCTCATGTCCATCAAATCGTCGGAGGGGTAAGCTTCAGCCTTCACTGCTATAAACGAGTAATCTTAAGGTGATTAATTCGGTGTCATCTCCTCGCAGAATGCGTAAGTTGTAGGCCATAGATACTCTAGTTTCACCTCTCATGATTGACACTTCTAGTTTCAACATTACCATGGACCCGAGCCTGGACTTGCCGAACCTGGCGACGTGCACAACCTGCCGATTCAAGGAAGACAAGTCGAACTACTGGACGGCAGTGATGTACTTCAAGCATCCGAACGGCAGCTTCATCCGCGTGAGTTCCAGTTCTGCGAGACACTGGAGCCGGTGGTTCATTCGCTTCCCGATAGGTGCCTCAAATTCCCAACCACTACACAGGCGCTCCCAACGGAGGCATGACCGTCTACTACATCCAGCCTCCTAACTTCGAACGTGTTACTGCTTTCAGGCCGGTGCGCATCGACGTTTGTCTAACCAAGGGATCCCATATCTCTAATCCTTCCAAATTCTTGCAGGGTTTCCGCATGATCACTGGAAATCCGATGCTCCGCAATTACGATAAATTCGATCCTGAGAGTCCTGAGGCCTACTCTGTGTCCTTCAGATGCTGGGAAACTACCGGGTTCTTCGACGAGTCCAACATGTCGGCTCCAGGTGTCGGAAACTACGACACTGTCCATCTGCCCAACAAGAAGTGCGCGGGTGGTATTCGTGCTAACATTTTCTTCCCGTCGTGAGTTTTTTGACGATACCTTAATGATCCATGTACAACTCAACGCATTTGTTACGCTCCAGGTGCTGGGATGGCATCAACCTCGATACTCCCGACCACAAGGTGTGTTTATCTTAGCACCAACACTGACTGCTAATGGGAGTCGTTTTTGTTAGAGTCACGTCGCATTCCTGACAGGCAAGGTTAACAGCAGCACAGGCCTCTTTTTCCGGAGCGGCACTTGCCCGTCCACACATCCTGTCAGGATTCCGCTTCTTTTCTACGAGACCTACTGGGACACGAGGCCGTTCAACGACATGTGGCCTACCGACGGCAGCCAGCCATTCGTGCTCAGCATGGGAGACCCGTAAGTTCTGGAAATCGCCAGATTACTCGCTTACCTATGGCCTTGGTTGTAGGACTGGGTATGGACACCACGGTGACTACGTCTTTGGGTGGGAGGGCGACTCGCTCCAAAGGGCAATGGACAACTGCCGCGATGCTTTTGGTGACCCGTCGACTTGCGCATCGCAGCTCACAATCCTTCCGGACGCTGAAATGAACAGCTGTACTCAAAAGCCCCAAGTGAACGAGAGGGTCGACGGATGTGAGCACTTCATTCTACTGACAGAAATTCTGCAATTGAAATGCATATCGGCTTTTAGACCTTGACAAGCTGCCGGGATGCAATCCTATTCAACCCGGTCCTGCCTCTGCGACCATGATCGCAAATTGTGACGCTGTCTCGACGACAGGATTCTCCCCAGCTCGCACTGCTGCTCCAGCACAGGTTACCGCCGCCGTTTAAGTTGGGCCTCAATGCAGGAGTCCTCTGGCTAAATCGTCTTTTTCGGTGGTTGAACATGGATGCTGCCTCTATGTTTTCTTTCACTACAACGTCCGCGTGTGTTCCAATTATGCAGATGACATCTATTCCTCGAACGAAGCAAGCACCCCTGAGGTTGAAGCATCCGATCCGCCACCAGCATCCGTCACCAGCAGAAGGTATCGGGGCCTCAGTATGTGGTAATACCAAACTTGTGCGCAATCATGCTGAGATTTCTATCGTCGTTTTCATCTTCAAATCGCGATGTTCATGAGATGGAAATGATGGAAATGACTTCATTGACGTTCCGACACGGTCCGGGATATCGGCGCGCCACTTTCCACTACCCAGACCGTATCATGCGACGTTCGACCTTATGACGGCTTGGTGATCCTAACAAATATTTTTATGGGAACCAAGAAGACCTCTTCAGACTTCTGGCCGCCCTAAGATCGACCAAATGTTGAGGCAATCTCTGCGCCGTTGCGTTTCTTGGGCTCCAGACGGTGTGCGTATGTCCTTTATGCCCTTTTTTCGTATCTCTGATACCGTTTGAAGTCTTGGAAAGCCATAGCTAGCGCATCAGGAGGCCATTAAAATCATTAATTTCCTCTGGATGACCCCCAGTCCGCTCTTCTCAAGAGTGTTCTCGGCGAATGGACCTTTTATCTTACGCCTTCTTGTTCGCAGTGTTTATCCGAGAATCTGTCACAAGAAGCATCACTTTGGGTTGGCGGTGATCTATAAATCACTGCTATTTGCTCATTATTGAAATCTCTAAGAACCTCGCTGAGGCCCTCGTCAGCGATGTTGTTCCACTTTCTAACCATCGTGAACTTTGTCCTCGGACAGACGAGGCCAAACTCGACCTTCTACAACCCGATATTACCAGGTTTTCACCCAGACCCCAGCTGTATCTTTGTCCGAGAATGGGACAACACATTTTTCTGCGCCACCTCTAGCTTCAACGCCTTCCCTGGCATCCCCATTCACGCAAGCAAGGACTTACAGAATTGGAAACTAATTGGTATTTGTTCGATGCTCGACCTCGAACCGAACGCACAGCTCACAAATACTACCCTCTAGGTCATGTTTTGAACAGACGAGAGCAGCTCCCGAGGCTTGCTGAAACGAACAGATCGACAAGGTCCAGCACCTGCGCCACTTACTTTGCCATTTTTGTTGATATATTTTTAGCGGGATATGGGCACCAGCTCTACGATACCACGAGGGTAACTTTTACCTCGTCACAACGCTCGTGGATGACGATCGTCCTCAAGAAGATCCATCGAGGTGGGATAACGTACGCCCCTACCGTATATGACACTTGCTACTGGACGCTCTAAACTCCTCCCCTTTTCCTAGATCATTTTTAAGGGTAAAAACCCTTACAAGCCCTCTTCATGGTCGATCGCGACGCATTTTACGTTCCAGGGGTATGATACATCGCCCTTCTGGGATGTTGATGGGAGGTCCTATATTTCCGGAGCTCAGGCGTGGCGCGTGAGGTTTGTGTCTCCCTTTATTTTTCGACCGAGAGAGGCTTGAAGGCTAATGCAAGGAGCAGTCCGGGGATTTACCAGACAACAGCGAATCTCGACACCGGAGAAATCGGAGAATGGAAGTCGATTTGGAATGGCACCGGAGGCATGGTATGTCGACTTGTCTTGGGGCACCTAGTAAACATACTAAATTAACCAGGCCCCGGAAGGACCGCACATCTACCGAAGAGACGGTTATTACTACCTTATGGTGGCAGAAGGTCAGTGGTTTGATAAAATGTCCCGATATTTGAAGTTATTATTATTCCATGATAGGTGGTACCGGCCTTGGACATATGGAAACTATTGCGCGTTCGAAAGCCATTGGCGGCCCATACGAGGTGAACCCTGCAAATCCAATATTGACGAATGCCAATACGACGAATTACTGTGAGTGGAATATTTCTTGCTGGCTCCCTTCGCGTCTCATGATTATCGCAGTTCAGACAGTTGGACATGCCGACCTATTCCAGGACCCATCAGGAAACTGGTCAGTTGGTCCAGCTTGGTTGAGTAGGATCTCGCACGCGTTTTTGACGGCGGCAGATAGGTGGGGCGTTGCTCTCTCCACCCGTGGTGGCGCCGATTACCTCTACTATCCTATGGGCCGCGAGACTGTGATGGCGCCTATGACTTGGAGGAAGGGCGAGTGGCCAGTCTTCAGCCAAATTCGTGGTGAAATGAGCGGCTGGGCGTTCCCACCTGTTAACAAGAATATCGACGGCGAAGGGTGAGTCAGCGTGACCTGACTTTAAATGATTGTGGATTAACATCCTCCCCACATTGAAGGCCATTCATCAACGAGGGCGACAACATCGACTTCGGGCCAGGCTCCAAAATTCCGGCGCATTTTACATATTGGAGATTTCCAATTACCGACTCGTTCACCATTTCGCCACCTGACCACCCAAATACTCTACGCGTTAAGCCATCACGACTTAACCTTACAGCCCTGAATGGAAATTACGCAGGGCCAGAAGGACAGTCATTTGTCGGACGCCGACAACAAGACACTCTTTTCACCTATAGCGTCGACATCGACTTTGCTCCGAAGGTGCTCGAAGAAGAGGCTGGCGTGTCTGTATTCCTGACGCAAAATCACCACCTCGATATGGGTATCGTCATGCTCCCAGGGACTTCCAGCACGATGCCTTTCCCTGGCACAAATTTGACCCAAGCGCCTAGCACAGAACTCGCACCTCACTTCCGATTTCGTGGAGAATCGTATGTGCCAGTTCCTGCGCCGGTTATTACACCCGTTCCAACGGCGTGGATGAATCGCCGCCTAACGCTCGAGATCAAGGCGTTTAACAAAACACATTATTCGTTCTCCGCGGGTCCAGCAGGAGCAAAATCCCAGATGCAGACGGTAGCAGCAGTGTCAAACGACCCTGTAAGCTGGGGATTTACTGGTGAGTACAGCTTTCTCTCAGCATCGCTTTTTTGTAGAGGACGCGAGGTTGAAACACTTGTCAAGGCACAATCCTTGGTGTCTACTGCACAACCAACGGCGGTTCTGGCAATGCAGAGGCGTACTATTCGAAGTGGATATACAGTCCGCAGGGCCAATTTAGGGACTAAAAATGCGAATATATAACGAAGGAGAAATGATACTCTCCTTTCTGGTAACCTATCGCAGTGTTGCACAAGTTCATCGGTTGAATAAACCGATACTTGCAGAGCCTCGTCCTTGTGCATCATATATATTTTAAGATTTTAACCTTTTTGTTGGTGCGATGGAGAATTCTTTTTCAAGTTCTTTTCAAGTTTTCTTCGTCAGTAGGGGAATTCAAAGTTGGTGTACCGGCCGGTACAAAACAGTTGGGACGGTACACTTTTTTGCCCTGGGCGTTCGGAGTTCGAACTGCATGATGCGAGTGATTGATAAATCAAGGGAGCGGCATGACGGAGGCGGGTGCCTCCTCAACGCGCCAGACAACGAGCAAGATGTTTTGGCGATATCTATTTCAATTTCAATCATTTTGGCTAGAAAATTCATTATTACCGTGCAGGAATCTGGGCCTGTTGTAACACATACTTATTGCTGCCTATGAAAGGAGAAATGCTCTTAAAGTAATGAGATAAGTTTGAATTTTTGCGAAGTGTTTACAAGGAATTCCGAGTGGGTATCAGAATCTGTTCATGATATTCCAACCCAACATAAATATACACGGGTTCTAAGCAAAAAAACTGGGTCGAGGGACGAGGGGGTGGCAGCATTTTCGTGCTCGCTGGGAGGCTCGGTGAGCAGCCGCCTTTCTTCATCATGGAGGTGACCTTGGCAGACGTTGCCGCCGCTGCGCGGATGCTTTACGAGGTGCGAAGCCCATCAGACCCCATCACGACACGATCATTCGCATCATGCAGTTCGAACTCCGAATGGCTCTGGGCAAAAACTGTACCGTCCCAACTGTTTTGTACCGGCCGGTACACCAACTTTGAATTCCCCTAGTGTCAGTGCCAGGGTGATGCCGAGAATAGAGTGTGAGAATATTTCACGGCACGACCCATTCAAGCGCTGGCAGAAGCGTTTAGTCTTTTCCCTGCGCGTACCAGCAATACCAATGAGCTTTCCTGCTATCTGCTGAGGGGTTCCACCGTCGAATCAACAATGTCAAGTCTTCCTCTACTTCTTCCTGCTAGTGTAACAGCAAAGCCAATATCCACACCTCATCTTGATTGGCAACCAAAGAGATACCTTTCAGAGCCGCAACCTCCACCTCAAGATGAAGGCAAGATACTCGAAGCTGAGCTAGCAAACGCGCGGCAGATGATTGACGGGAAGCTCATCAAGAAAACGCGCCCAAGACGGACGGTGGACTACAATGGTGGTGTGGGGAGATGGAACCTGGTGCGTGTCGTTCGGACAGTGGGGCATTCCAGGCGTTGAAAGGGTGTTTAGTTGCGTAAACTACGACCTAATCCATATTTTACGCCCCAAATGAGACCGAGTCCACCTTACATTATCGACGTGAGTGAACAACCTTCAAGTTTTGAGTCATTCGACCAAGCCCGTTCCAGCTTCTACCACCAAAAGCGTATCCCGAAAACCCCTCGACCTCACTATGCACAAAATTCGTGCACACATCCACGAACAAAATCCGATGTCCCGTAAATGTTGTCCTGGTACGTGCGATCCGCGTTCGAAACCCCTTCCGTTCCTCACATCGGTTCAGTGGACCCCCGAGTCGCGACGTATCCTCACCGGGTCAACAAGCGGCGAATTCACGCTATGGAACGGCCTCACATTCAACTTCGAGACAATCCTACAAGCCCACGACACCGCAATATGCGCCATGAAGTTCACCCATGCCGGCGCGTACTTGGTTTCTGCAGACAAGAGCGGTGTCATCAAGTACTTCGAGCCCAACATGAACAATTTGACTGCGTGGCAAGGCTCATCTTCACGAGAAGCTATCCGAGGGATCAGTTTCAGCTCGGACGACAGACGTTTTGCGACGGCGAGTGATGATTCAAGTGTGCGGATATGGTCTTTCGCCGAAAGCAGAGTGGAGAGCGTCCTGACAGGTATGCATTCTTTATCTTTTCATATTTTGCCTCACTAATTCTGCTACATAGGCCATGGATGGGATGTAAAATGCGTCGAGTGGCATCCAACGAAAGGCCTACTCGTGTCTGGAAGCAAAGACAACCAGATCAAATTCTGGGACCCTCGAACAGGAACAGTGCTATCTACTCTGTGCGTACATTCATCCCCAACAAGAGGAGTAGTCGCTGACCTGACCACAGACATCAACACAAGAACACTATCCAAGCGCTCTCGTGGTCACCAAACGGTAACCTTGTTGCGAGTGCTTCAAGAGATCAGACTGTACGCGTATTCGACATCAGGGCAATGAAAGAATTCCGTATCCTTAAAGGGCACAAAAAGGAAGTCTGCTGTAAGTTTGCCTGCCTCGAGTCAAAGGCCGGCCCTCACTCATTATTCTCTAGCTGTTGCCTGGCACCCCGTGCACCCAATCCTCGTCTCCGGAGGCTCAGAAGGGGCTATCCTGCACTGGGACCTCTCAACACCCGACGGTGACGAATTTACCCAACCCGTAGCCGCACCACGAGCCACCCTCTCCCAAGCACACGACTCGAACGTCTGGTCGCTCGCCTACCACCCCTTCGGGCACATCCTGGCAGCGGTTCGAATGACTACACGACGCGCTTCTGGAGTCGCGAGCGGCCTGGGGACGTCACATCCGTATTCTCAGGAGGAGGTGAGAAGCCGCCCGAGGTCGTGGACACCGCCGGCCAGGATGAGGAAGAGGAGGCGATGGTACCTGGGTTCGGATTTGCTGGTGCCGGTGGGGGTGCCGATGCCGGTGCAGGCGCGAACGGGCCATCGTGGTGGGGTAAAGAGGAAGGTGGGGGTGAGTCCTCCAGAAGGGCTGGTGGATTCGGCGAGCACCCGGAGTCGGACGACTTCATTCCTGGGTTCGGTGTTTCTCCTGAGGCGTCAAGGCAGAACGGGCATTCGGGCTCAGGACACCATGATATGTATGGGCATGACGAGAAGGATGAGTTCGGAAGGGATAGGGACTTTGGACGTTCTGGTGGTGATGGAGGAAATGATGATTGGAGACGAGGGGGTGGCGGAGGGGGTGGTTATAATCGAGGTGCTCGCTACGGACCTCGAAGAGGGCGCTATTGAGTTCTCATTGTTATCACGCTTGTTGTCTCGAGCCAATGAGAGCTTTGCACTGAAAAAGCATATGCGGTTTCTTGCTCATAGACCGCATCCGAGCTCTTCAACCAGCAGCCTATTTTTGACTTGACCACCCAGTACTGAGAACTTGGACGCAGCTCGGACAGCTTCGAAGAAGCGAAGAAGGCATGTCACGAACGGTTGGTTGAAATCACCAAAAGGAAGTTTCTCAACAATATCTCCTTAACTTGCTGATAACCGCCATGCCCAACAACAACGATGCCACCAACGAAGTGAGTGATTTCGGGTATGTCGTGTGGGCGGAGACTTCAAAAGGCGGGCGTTACAAGATCGAGCGAACGGAGCGAGATGAAACATCTGGAAACAAGCTAAGAATCTACCTACGACCATCGGCGAAGAGGAACAAAGTCGTGAGTGTACATAATATAGTGGCAGGAGAACTGATTGGTCTACCCAACACCACTGTGCAGATGCGTTTTCAGCTGTTCTGGAAACCAATTGAGCATCAAGTGCATCACTATCTCTGTACAACCACTGTTTCTCCTCCTCCTCAACACGACCAGGGCAAGAGGTATTGCTTTATGCGCAGGAACAGCAACACAGTGTATTCAACCGGAACATCAAAAAAGAATGCCTACATGGTTGCACTTCCAAGTTGCGGTACGTCATTCTGTGTAGTCCAAGAAAGTGCTTACAGCAACGGTCCATTATGCTTAACTGCTCATTGGCATGCTGCAGGTTCATATGTCGCCACCGCTACACTCAAGTTCAAACAGCTGAAGGACAATATCACTCCCGAAGTTGTTAGTAAACTAGAAACATTGAATAAAGACTACCTCGCATCCCTTCCAGACCTGGGCGGGGACACTGTCCTGGTTGAGGAAGAGCCATCCAAAATATTTCAATTTACATTTCATAGCTATGAGCCAAAAGCCAGAGCTCCCACTCGCACAGCCAAAAGAAAACGAGACGAATTCGAAGACTCGGACTCAGATGTCAACAGCCGCCTCTCCCCTGAGATATCAATACTAGCCACTAACTATAAGCAATCCAGGGTGTCTGGTGTGTTCTTTTCTTCCATCTGTCACTCTGTAAATTTTATTCACTGTGAATTGTAATACTTCCAGACTCACATTCGCAACCCAGACCTTCCGGTTCTTCAAGCCAAGGGTCGATACATGTGAAGCGGCGCTTAACCTCCCCCTCCATCATGTCAGCGCCAGCACGTCTCAAGAAAAATACCCGAAAACTCGAGGGTATTATGGAAGAGACAGGTATTAGAGAAAGAACTCAAGAAAAGGGTCAAGGTATGCCAACAGTTTTCTGAATATGAGACATCGAGTTCATTGTTTCCTAGGAAATAAATGAGATCTTGCGACGGGCGCTAGCCAAATATTCGACTTCAACTTGAAGACAAGTTTATGTAACTGAAGCGTGCACATACCCTTGATGCGGCTTGATGTGTCTTGGTGGGAGCACACGAACGGCTCTTCTTGTCTCCCAAAAGTATCAGACTGCTGGTATCTCCATGTTGGGGAGAATCACCAACGCGTCAAGTTTGCTCAAGATATAAATATATACATGTATATACATAGCTTACTGTGCATGTTCGTCCTCAAAACAACAAATTATTTTCTATGCTTTGAACTTTGCAAGCGCCTGTCGCATTGCCTCGTTTGCAGCCTCTTGTTCCTATAGCCATTGAGACCTCTTTCAAGTCAGATTTCACGAGCACATGCACATACCTGAACCCTTTTTTCGATCTCTTTCTTCAATGCCACTCCCTCTTGCGTAACCTTCTGAAGTCTTTGAATGGTCCTCGTTATGATAGATGGCTCAGAGTCGTGACGAAGCGCGGTCTGGAAAAAAGGCGCAAACATACAGTCATCTTATCAGGTGTCCAACAAGGTGAAAAGGGTTGTCTACCTTTCTCCTGGCCGTAGATTGCCTCGCCTCTTGACCTCTTGAGGGATTCGCCCTTGGATTTGGCGCTGCTGGGTAAGATAGTAAATTTAAAATCAGTGAAGCGGGCTTCTCGTTCAACAAATCTCGCCAAGGGACTTACCCAGAGCTCGTTCCTGTGCCTTCCGTCGAGGCCGCAAGGCCAAAACGGTCATGGAATCGTCGGAATCGGTGTGATAAGCGTCATCAGAATCGAGGTCTATCACGGTACCACTGCGACTGTGCTTCCGTTTTTCGCAGTATGCCCCGGCTTGCGTTGCGAACACTTGGCGATGGAACTGAAATTTGAATGTTTTGCACGGAGTATCTTGCACGTATGAAAAGATGTCATTCTCGTCCTCGATTTCAGGAAGAATAGTGCAGGGATCGTTGTTGAGGCTGTCGAAAATGGTGAGGACCTTGGGAGGCAGATTGTCCTTGACACGAAAGATCTCGAGCGTTGCCGTGGCCAGGTACGTAGTACCTACGAGGCCACAGTGTGGGAGGCTTGAGCTACTGTGGATAGAGACTTAACATCATACTTGGAGGGCCTACCGGGAGGTGGATTGTGCGGTTTCATAGCTCGTAGTATCATCCATTTCAAACGTGAATATGATGCAGCCTGCGTTGAATATGCGACGTTGGCCGGCCCACGCATGGAGCAATATCTGGTGCCTTGATTATTCGCGGAGGGTGGGGAGACTGCGACCTTGCAAAGCCAGAGATCCGCTTGGTCCTCGGTTGGTTGCCAGAACAGGTGAAAGCAGATCTACAGCAGCTCAGGTGCGCCGGCGATTGTGTGTGATATACTACAGTACAGAGACTTACATCGGGGGCCCATGTTATCCTCACTCCGAGATAGATGTTGAGTCCGCCAGATTCTGCGTCTCCTTCGGTTCGCTCAACTGGGTATCGATTGCCCCTCGAATTTTCGACCCAAAGAAGGAACCCAGAGTCATTCACTTCGTCTGTAAGGCCGTCCATTTGAATCTTGAATGATATTGCCAAGGGGGAACAAAAAGGAGGAAGCACTGGAAGCACTGACAATCTGTTGTAACCAGCAAAGGAAGACAGGAATGTCGACGATGTTCAAGTTGAACTTCATGCCTGTCATTTAAGCTTCGAGACAAACAAATGCGCCCGCCTCAAGCTGTGGCAACCAACCAAGTGTACCTATTTCGGACGCGAAAATCCACAAAATGAGCAGAGACCTGAATTCAACTGTCGCCAGATTTTTTGAGCATTTAGGGAGCCATGTTGTCCAGACCAAAAACCTGAGCCTTCGTCGGTTGGACGGAAAAGTATACACGCTTCTGCACAGGCGAAAGAATGTTTGAGCATTTCATAAAACAGGCCGCATAATGGCGTAGAGGATAGTACAACAGAGAAACCTTTACAAACTCAAGAACTCGGTAGACAAGGAGCAAGACACACAGAGCCAACGAGTCCGTTTTGATTTCAAGGCGTTTCGAGTAGACGTCGCATCCTGTCGATATTGCGCTGCTTGGACTTAACGAGAGAATGGATGAGAACGAAAGGTGTTGCTGATATCCAAGACAAAGGGCACATACCTGCATTTTGGCGGACAGCTTTTCTGCTAGCTCTCGTTCGATAGCCTCAAGGGCTTCGTACTCGTCCTGGAGATCTGGATAAGTGTTCCTGATCTGATCGGACAGGAGAAAAAAATTGCCGTTAAGTCAATAGGGTTGGAGGCGCTGAGTCCAACACCCCATAAATCGGTGTCGACTGGGCGAGTAGACATCTCGACTTTCACGTATGGCGTCTTCTAAGAATGCAACTTCAACAAGGGATGATGGATTTGAGCAGGACTCACCATGAAGTCAGGCGTTGGTCGATGTGAAATAGAGGACAGGCGGGCTCTTTTCCTCGGCTCATCGCGATTTTCTTGTGAACAATCAATTGAATCGATTAGCATTATTGCACGACAATGAACAGGACTCACGGATATCATCCGCAGGGCGTTTGGTCGCATTCGAGGGCCGCGAAACAGAGGTTTTGTTGTCGGCAGGCGTGTCGCGCTCCCAGATAGGCTCATTCTCGTCTCTGAAATTGAACTCGAAGATGGCGTAGGGTTCCTCTTCCTCGTCGATATTCATATTGTCGAAGTCGACAACGGCCCGTTCGAAGCCGACGTCGTCGACGACCCACTTAGGTTCCAAGACGGCACCATGAACCTTCCTGATAACCAAGCGAACAGAGCCAAGGGAGTACCGAACTAAATGATAATAGGCATTCAGCGGAAGAATGAGACAGGCTGCCTAACTTACAAGCCTTCTTCGCTGTTCGCAGGTAGCCCTTTCGGTGGTAAGGCCCGTTGAGCCATCCTTTACTCTGCCTGGATTGTGTGACTCTCTTTGAGCTGTTCATGACTAGGCTCACGACCTCCACATGCGCGTCCGTGTCGTAGTAGCCGTTTTCGACGAAGACTTGGCATAGGGCGGACATTGGGCGAAGGCCAGCGCTCCTGCACCAACGAAGAGTGTAGGTCTGCGATTTGTTGAGCTTCAACGAAGAGAAGCAGAGAATGAAACTGGCGCAACACTTACTCGTGCCGGGTCAATGTGAAGAGTGATCGAGATTTTGTGTTCTGTTTCATCAATAGAGCGCTTCTCCAGAAGGGAAATCGGGTTTCCGTTTGCATTTTCGAGCCAGGCCTCCAAACCGCGATACCTCAGAGCGCCGGGCATCTTGATGTACCAGAGTAGAGATCGTTCTGTTACAAGAGGCTTTTCTCTGCCATTGATGCCAGAAGGTGGTTTTATGCTCGACATTATAGTTCGGAGTTTCGATTCAGAGCAAAGTTTGTGGGACCCTGAGACATATTTGGGGTTTACGTTTCCAGACGTCGAGCTGATAAGGGGTTCACACAACGAGACCAGGAGGCGTGGGTCCCCCGTTACAAGGCCTCGGGGCTTCGGCGGGACGAGGCGGTGCAAGGAAGCAGTCAAGAAAAGCTAAAACGCTTTCAGAAGTCACTCTAGTTGGCACTCGGAAGAGTAATCTCTCCATTGTGACCCGATTGATTTGGAACACAAGTCGATAGAAGGTATGTCGCATGAGTTCCTGACACTGTAGCTGCAAAGGTGGGCGTTAGGCGGGAGAGGATGAATCGACCGCCACAATCAGGGTTGTCGTCCAGAGTCTGAATACGAGAAGGAATGAACCAGAGCTATAGAGCATCAGGGAGAAACAAAAGAACGCACCGGAGAGACCCTACATCAAAATCCATCTTCGAGTCGGTACAAGACTCTACTGGCATAATATTCGTAAATATAAATGTAGATCAGCTGAGGCGATGGAACACACACTCACGTAGGACCAGGTTCTGTAGTGAGACGACTTGGAGTCCTTTGGAGTCGCTGAAGGTGCATAGGACGGTAGTGTAACAGGGACAAACAACTTCGCATCGCAGTCTCCGCTCTCTGTTGCCGTCACCAGTACTCAGACCAACATCCAGCGCACACTACCTAATTATCCCATATTCTATCGTTCAAAATGGGTGACGAGTACCCAAGTCTTCTCCGTACGCCATTTTCGCGTGTATTTTGCTTTCTGGATTTTATGCTGAGGGGGTGTTAGGGTCGGAGGAGATGAGCTTGGTGCAGCTCTTTGTGCCAACGGAGGTTGCCCATGACACTGTCTACGAGCTAGGAGAGCTCGGAAACGTCCAATTCAAAGATGTGAGCATATACTGCCTCGCACCCTACTCATAGTCCCTCAACCTCCTGACAGTTGAACCCGAATGTCAACCCCTTCCAACGTTCCTTTGTCGGAGAGATTCGGCGCGTCGACGAGATGGGGCGACGTGTGCGCTTTTTTGCGAGCCAGATAGCCAAGGAGAAGGATGTTGTTCCCATTCGCTCTCTGTTGGAGTGCGCCCCGCTTGTAACCGTCGGCCCCCGTGCTGCGCAGACCATTGATGAGCTGGACCTCACTTTGGCTGAGCACGAGAAGAGGCTAGTCAAGATGAACGATAGTTACCAGACCTTGAGTGATAGGACGAGGGAGCTGGTTGAGGCGAGGTATGTGTTGAGGGAGACGGCGGTCTTTTTCGACAAGGTATGTACCATGGATAGCTTATACTAGCTCGAGGCTCGACTCTTATGAATTGTAGGCGCAAGGTCATCAATCGGACATTCGTTCTTCGTTCGACGATACGACGACGCCTCTACTTCAAGATGACCGTGAAGGTGGTTTTACTCCTGCTGGAGTGCAATTCGATCTAGAGTACGTTGGGATTTTTTTCCTGTAATCTCCACTCTCATGGCGGCTCCTAGGTTTGTTGCCGGAACAATTGAGCGCTCCCGTATGCCCACCTTCGAGCGTGTCCTATGGCGCGTCCTTCGTGGCAATCTCTACATGAACCACACCGACATCCCAGAACCTTTCACCGACTCAGTTACTGGTGTCGAGACCCGCAAGGACGTCTTCATCATCTTCGCCCATGGCGACGCCTTGCTTGCCAAAATTCGGAAGGTCGCCGAGTCGATGGGAGCAACTCTCTATCCCATCGACGCCAATGCAGATAAGCGCTCTGAGTCTCTTCGCGAGGTCTCCGACCGTCTTGAAGATCTCCAGACGGTTTTATATAACACCGGTCTCAGTAGGCGTGCAGAACTTGTGAAGATTGGCGAGCACCTCCGCAGCTGGCAGGACGTGGTCAGGAAGGAGAAACTGATTTACGAGACTCTGAACCTCTTCAACTACGACGTTCGTAGGAAGACTCTTATCGCGGAAGGGTGGGTGCCCACTAGGGATATCACTGCTATCCAGCTGGCCTTGAGGACCGCAACGGTAAACATTCATGTTTCGCGCGAGTTTCCAGAATATATGCTGATGAAACTATCAGGAGGGCTCAGGAACGAGTATCCCACCTATCCTTCAGGAACTCAAGACGCACAAGAAGCCTCCTACTTTCCATAGGATCAACAAGTTTACGGAGGGCTTCCAGACTATCATGGACAGCTATGGCGTCTCGGCATACCAGGAGGTCAATCCCGGTCTGTTCGCAGTCATCACTTTCCCGTTTCTATTCGCGGTCATGTTCGGTGATATTGGCCATGGAGCGATCATCTTCCTTGCGGCTTGTTATATGATCCTTTTCGAAAGGAGGCTGGCGAAGGCTGATCTTGGCGAGGTGTGTTCTTTCACTGCCTTTCATTTTATTTGGAAGTTCGGAAATTAACGGCTGTTCAATCCTCTATAGATCATTGGACAATTCTACTTGTGCGTCTCTTTCGGTCTTTATATCTTTGCATCGATCAATGACCGTCATGAAACAGCGGTCGTTATATCATTCTCCTCATGGGTCTGTTCTCGATCTACACCGGATTCCTGTACAACGACATTTTCTCGAAGAATTTGCACCTCTTCCACTCAGGATGGGAATTCCCTGAAGGTGACGGGTCAGCAAAGACTGGGGTACTTACCAACCATCGCTATCCGTTTGGTATCGACCCTGGCTGGCACGGCGCGGACAATGCCCTCGTCTTCCTTAACTCTTACAAGATGAAGATGTCAATCGTGCTGGGTGTTATCCACGTATGTTCCTCGTGTTGTAATTTTCGGGGAGCTGACGTCAAGGAAAAAAACATAGATGACGTTTGCCTTGTGCTTGCAAGTGCCAAACCATTTCAAGTTCAAGCGGTACTCGGACCTGTACACCAACTTTATTCCGCAGATTATCTTCCTGCAGTCCATTTTCGGGTACCTCTCGGTCTGCATCCTGTACAAGTGGTCCATCGATTGGACAAAGGCGACCACGCAGCCGCCCTCGCTTCTGAACATGCTCATCTCGATGTTCTTGGAACCCGGTAAGGTTAACCCCGCAACGCAGTTGTATCGTGGACAAGGCACGGTGCAACTTATCTTATTGGCCCTCGCTGGCATCTGTGTCCCTTGGCTGCTCGTTACGAAGCCCTACCTTGCCTGGAAGGAGATGCACAAAACTCAAGGTCAGGGTTACATGACCATTGGCCACCATCATGGAGCAGAAGATAACGCTCCATACACACCAGGTATCAGCTTGCAAGATGAGGAAGAAGGAAACGGACAAGCACTCCTGCAAGCCGCAGAAGATGACGAGCAGGTGCGTGCCCTCTCGGTTTTCCGTTCCGTCTCTAGCCCCCTATCTTTGGCATTCGCGTAATGACATCGGATTTTTGTAGGAGCATCATGATTTCGGCGAGGTGGTGATCCACCAGGTTATCCATACCATCGAGTTCTGCCTCGGCTGTATTTCACACACCGCATCGTACCTCCGACTCTGGGCCTTGTCGCTCGCCCATGCCCAGCTTTCGGAGGTGCTCTGGTCGATGACGCTGTCGAGAGTCCTCGGGCCGACGACCGCGTTTGGGTGGATCGCGCTGATCATCATGGGCGGCTTCTGGTTCGTATTGACGGTATTTATCCTGTGCGTTATGGAGGTGCGTATCTCAGCGATCTTGTTTCACGTCACACTCAATATCTCAATCTGATCCTGGTGGTGGTGGTGCTATTGATTGATCTGGTTTGGGGTTCGTCTATTCCTAATCCTCAGGGCTTATCGGCATTCTTGCACGCGCTCCGGTTGCACTGGGTCGAAGCGAACAGCAAGCACTTTGAGGGCGGAGGGCATGTGCGTAACCCACGTTTCCATTCTCGTGGTTCGTGACTAATTGCCTGCAACAGGGATTTGTTCCGCTGAGCTTTGCGGCGACGCAAGAGTTCAAGGAGTGAAGGAAGCGGGGGTCTAGGGCGCGCGAACGGCGGCTCGATGCAACGAGGAAATATTTGTGGTGTGATTGGCCTGTCTGGGGTACCCCACATGTGTCTCGAGCGCCACCGAGCCAACTCTCGCTTTCGGCGGAGGCTGTAGTCGCCTGTCACGCAAGGACCCTTGACGTCGAATGTCACCCAATTTTGCACCTATCAACATTTCGTCCACATCTAATTTTGCCTATTCCCATATAACATCGGTGTTGACTGGTGGATCGAAGTTACACATATGAAGGGAATCCGGACGGGTGAATTGCTGGCACGAACCTTGGGAAACATAAATTGTTAAATTTGGAAGGGCAACTTCAGATCCTCGAGTCTCTTCGTGACTTCGTTGGGACCTTTCAATACCGGCAGAGAGCGAGCGAGCAGCTCTTGTTACCGATGAATAAAAAGGTAGAACTGGTATCAGTTCAAAAGGGGTCGCTTGCGATGGCAACGTAGTCGCAATCCGCCTCGGCGTTGGATTTATGAGTGTCTTTGACCGTGAGTATTGAATTCTTTGTAGAGATCTGGCCGCTGCGAGGTATTTTCCTGCCAAAGTACTCCTAGTCTATATTGCACTATCATGGATAGAGAACGCGATGCTACTCACCTGCTGAGGGATTTCGCTCGAGAAAACCTACGAGCTGTGATAGTTGGGAATTGATTGGGGTCAGTGCAAGAGTTTCGAGGCGCTGGATAAGCAAAATTAGATGTAAGTTGTACTTATAATACGAGCGCGTCGTGAAGAGCAGGAGTGTCACGGGTATGGGATACTTTGCATCGAAGCCTGGGCATTCGTGGATAGGATTATCTGCATTGTTGAGATGTTGGACGAAATTCAAAGTTTTGTACCAATGTCCATCCAAACATAGAGCAGGGTTCTGTCACATCCCTGTAGGTTCGGCAATTTGACCGTCATGCAATTTTTAAAACTCCGCAAATGGGGTGCTATAAACATGCTCTCCATTTCTCCGCCTTTTCCTTCACCACCCCCACTCCTCTTCTTTTTTCTTCCTCCCTTCATAGAGGTCTGTCCCGTTGTCGTTCGAATCGATGTTGAGCGCAAAAGCTGACGGTCTCCGTAACAGGCATTTTTGCCATCCCCATAGAAGAACTAGAGCGTCCTTTGTTCTTGCCAGCCTTTGCCAGCGATTAACGACGTAGACATCTCTCCAAAATTTCCTCATCAAATGTGCGTATTCCTCTTGTTCGAAGCTCTCGAATGACGCTGAGATCTTCCTTATCGTGCAACAGATACCAGAAATGCCCTCTGCCACCGCCACCGCTGTTACTGCTACCCCCCCTGCGTCCCTCAAGACCGCTGCTGCCCCCGTTGCTGCAGGCCAAATCGACTTGTCGGCCCTCTTCGCAGTCGATAAGGCCGCCCGCCAAGCTGCCGCTAAGGCTTTTGCCGCAACTGCTCAAAAAGACGGCCCTTCCGCCCTCCAATCCATCGGGTTCGGAGACGCTGTCGTCAAGGCTCTCGCCGACAAAAAATCCCCTGCTACCCGTGAGGGCGCAGCTGATGCCATCCTCGCGCTCGTCAACAATGGCGCTATCAAGTCGCTTGAACCCATCTTCATCGACTCTGGCATCTACAACGCCCTCCTCGAGGCATTTGCCGACAAGATGCCCGCTGTCCGGACAGCGGCCGTCGAGGCTGTGCGCGCATACGTCGCTGCCATGAACCCTTGGGCCACCGCGCTCATTCTCCCCGCGCTCCTTCACGAGATCAAAACTGCCGGCAAATGGCAGATCAAGATTGGCTCCCTCGTCGCCCTCGACCAACTTGTCAAGAGCGCCCCAGTCCAAACTGCCCGCCTCATGCCCGACATCGTCCCTGTCCTCTCTGAGGCGATTTGGGATACCAAGGCAGACGTGAAGAAGGCCGCCCGGGAATCGCTGACAAAGGCTACGGCTCTCGTCTCCAACAAGGACATAGAACGCTTTATTCCTGCTCTAATTAAGGCTCTCATTAATCCTGTCGAGGAGGTGCCTAATACCATCATGCTCCTCTCGGCTACCACATTCGTTTCCGAAGTAGACTCGGCCACCCTTTCCCTCATGGTCCCTCTTCTCTCTCGTGGTCTCTCCGAGAAGCTTACCGCCACCAAGCGCAAGGTCGCTGTGTAAGTTTCGCTCTTATCGCATCTCCGAATAGTCTGATTGATGACCTATTCATAGTATCGTTGACAACATGGCCAAGCTCGTCGACTCTCATGTCACTGTCCGACCTTTCATCCCCAAGCTTCTGCCCGGCCTGATCAAGGTTGAGAGCATTATTGGCGATCCTGAAGCTCGCAGCGTCGTTAACCGCGCTATCGCTACTCTCCGTCAAGTCGGCCAGGTTCCCGCCGAGTCTGACGGCTCCGATCTCCCTGTCCTCCATCACGCCGATGAGAAGCAGCTTGCCCACTCCCTTGTTGCCGTTTACAAGAAGCTCGGCGGCACCATCTCGCCCGGAAATGTCGACACCATGTACGCTGCCAACCTTGCCGCCAACTTGGTCAACGTCAAGAACTTCGATGTTCCTGAGTGGGACACCCTCGCTCCGTACCTCGCCTTCGCCGCCTCTACGCCCGAGCCCATCACCGTCGCTCGTGAGTGGGTCGTCCGCTCCGCTACCGAGGGCACCGAAGACGAGGAAGTTGCTGAGGATGAAGAGGAGGGTGAAGATCTTTGCAACTGCCAGTTTTCCTTGGCTTACGGTGCCAAGATCCTGCTCAACACCGCTACTCTCCGCCTCAAGCGTGGCCACCGTTATGGTCTTTGCGGAAAGAACGGTACCGGAAAGTCGACCCTCATGCGCGCTATCACCAACGGCCAGGTCGAAGGTTTCCCTTCCCCAGACGAGGTTCGCACCTTCTACGTTGAGCACGACATCGACGGCAGTGAGGAGGACACCTCCGTTCTTCAATTCATCCTCAACGACACGCGCGTTCTCGCCTCGAAGGAGGAGAGCATTGAGACCCTTGCATCCGTCGGCTTCTCTGATGAACGCCAGGCCCAATCGATTGGCAGTCTCTCTGGTGGTTGGAAGATGAAGCTCGCCCTTGCCCGTGCTATGCTCTTCAAGGCCGACATTCTGCTCCTCGACGAGCCTACTAACCATCTTGACGTTGTTAACATCGCCTGGCTGGAGAACTACCTGACGAACCTCACTCACTGCACTTCGAGTACGTATCTTGTTTTATCATTGTTGTGCTTGGTTCAATGTCGTCTCTAGTCATTGTCTCGCACGACTCTAGCTTCCTCAACAACACCATCACTGACGTCCTCCACCTGAACCGCTTCAAGCTCCGCAGGTACCGCGGTAACCTCGAGAAATTCGTCGCCCAGGTCCCTGAAGCGAAGTCCTACTACACTCTTGAGGCTGCCGAGGACTACAAATTCAAGCTCCCTGATCCCCCTCTCCTCGAGGGTGTCAAGACCAAGGAGAAGTCGCTTCTTAAGATGCGCAAGGTCGGCTTCCAGTACCCTTCCCAGCCCGTTCAACAACTCTACGACATCACCCTCCAAGTCTCGCTCTCTTCGCGTGTCGCCATTCTCGGTCCTAACGGTTCCGGCAAGTCGACTCTCGTCAAACTCCTCACTGGCGAGATGGAACAGAACAAGGGTGGTGAGATTTGGAAGCACCCCAACTTGGTCATCGGTTACGTTGCTCAGCACGCCTTCCACCACATCGACAACCACCTCGACAAGACCCCTCTCGAGTACATGCTCTGGCGTTACCAGACTGGTGAGGATCTTGAGGAGTTGCAGAAGGCCAACCGCCAGATCTCGGAGGAGGAGTCGAAGAAGATGAAGGATGGTTCGCTCGTCGTTGTTGAGGGCCAGAAGCGCTTCATCGACGAGGTCATCACCAGGAAGAAGCTCAAGCAGTCTTACGAGTACGAGGTCTCGCTCAAGGGTCTCTCCTCGTCGGAGAACATCTGGCTTCCCCGTGACGACCTCATCAAGCGTGGTTTCGAGAAGAAGGTGCTTGAGGTTGACACCCGCGAGGCTCAGCGCCTCGGTCTACTTCGCCCTCTCGTTCGTCGCGAGATCGAGAAGCACTTCGCCGACTTCGGTCTCGAGCCCGAGTTCGTCTCGCACAACACCATGCGCGGTCTATCCGGTGGTCAGAAGGTCAAGATCGTCCTCGGCGCTGCTACCTGGCGTCGTCCTCACGTCATGTGCCTTGATGAGCCTACTAGTGAGTTTTTGTTGTCATCGCTGGTCAACGTCCAGTTCTCTGACATCTCCGTCTTCTAGACTACCTCGATCGTGAGTCGCTCGCTGCGCTCATCGAGGCCCTCAAGGTCTTCGAGGGAGGTGTCCTCATCATCACCCACAACCGCGACTTCTCCGAGTCTCTATGCAAGGAAGTTTGGGCCATGCGTGACGGTCGTCTCGAGGCCTCCGGCCACAACTGGGTCGAGGGTCAGGGCGCAGGACCCCGCATCGACAAGGGTGCTGCCGAGGAGGAGGATCAGTACGACGCCATGGGCAACAAGATTGACACCAAGAAGGCGAAGAAACTCACCGCTGCTGAGGCCCGCAAGGCCAAGAAGGAGCGTATGGCCCGGAAGAAGAGGGGCGAGGATGTCACTGACGATGAGCTATAAGCAGGTTTGCCCAGGTTTTGTATAGATATGTTCCAGCTCTCGTTGACGTTTCCCTCCGCCTCGTCTCATCCTACTACCCCTCTATGTTTTATGTCCCCGCATACATGACTTCCGGCCATATGACCTGTTCTATTAGGTGTGTTTCTAGTTACGTATCTCGTCTTCCTTATGTCTTGTTTCATCCTGCTGTCTGTAATACCTCCTCGTCTAATTATACGTTATGGCAATTCTACTTCGCTTTTTATTCTTCGGTCATTCTGCTGGTGTGATTTTCTTCGTCGTTGAGGAAGACGTGATAAGATAAAAGTAAGCAATATGAGCTCTATTGTTCTGCAGCCGAGACTTGGAAGGGTCGAGTGGCACCAATTGAATACCACTTGTCCTCATGTTCTCATCTTCAGAACGCCGCTGTTTGAACTCTGTCCTCGAAGCGTAGATGTTTCACTGTTCTCGTGGTTTCTCGTCGAGACGTTTGGAAATGACTTTATTTTTCGACTACGGCAGCAATCAAGAGTGGTTTGCAATTGGAGCTTGGAGCTTGGGCTTGGAGCTCGGTCCAGTGGCACTCTTCCTTTACTTTTGCACTCGTCTCATCTCCTACTTTCACGAAACGATCGCTTATAACTTCTCTAAAGCCGCATAATTGGATTGAGGAAACTTGCTTTTCAATGACACTCTCGAGGCTCAATGAAAATACACTCTCGGCGGCCGCCCATTTGTCTGCAGCTTAGTACTAGACCTTATCTCAACGGTCGAGTGGCTCACGCATTATATTGACTTGTAGACTCTGTCATGGGAAGAGGCTATGGAATAACGACATCTTTATCTACACAATTTTCCGAAGATTCTGACCCAAGCCCGGCTGGACGACATTCATTCTGCTCGAGAAACTTCAGCTGGACTTTGGAGGGACGACCGCTGAGAACAGAAGACGTACTGAATAAACACGATTTCCGATGGAACGTTCTTGGGTACGATGAGGCGATGACTCGACAGATTTTCCAGCACGAATGACAAGAGTGAAGGAACCAAGTCAAGTCCGAGAGACTTGTCAGCCACCGCCTTCGATGCACACAGGACACAGTGAGCATTTTTAGCACGCCTCTGCATTCCAGAAGCAAGGGAGCTGTGGTTGAACTTGCGTATTTGGGAATTTTTGGGTTCTGGGTAGCAACGATGGTTGAAAATGTACCTAGGGCCTAGGGAAGATGTCTTCGTTGTTCAACGTTGATATCGTTGACGTAAAGGTTGGATTGCCCTTCTGTTAAGGATACAGGAATACTCACCGCTCGCAATAGATTCGGCGAAAGAATAGTGAATGGTGGAGGAATTTCTCCTCCTCTTGCTGGGGCCGGACATGAGGCTCGGTAAGCTCCAGGTCGAGTATTTCGAGGATATTGGCCCATGCCTGAGTCGTTTACCAGGCGCCCTGCTTCAAGAAAGATGTTTGAATATCAACCATGAGAAGCACCTGGCACAAACCTTATTTGGCACACTGGTGTTCTCGAAGATCTTCTTGAGTCGAAGTTCGCATTCCGTGGACGAATTGCAGGCTCTTTTCGAGGAGATCTGGGCTGCGGAAGAGCACTTATCATGCCTCGAAAACTTCGAATCGTCGAGGGGAAGCATTTCTCGGGATTTCTGGGCAAGAAGCGACGGGGAATGGGGGGAACCGCGCTGGATTCATGGGAGATCGAGTCAAGGTACGGCACGCGCATTCTAATTTGACACGATAGGAAAGCTTAGGTAATACGCGTTTAGCTCTGGTCCCGATAGCTTGATCGCCTACTTAACAGGTTGTTGAACAACCACCGCGTCCCCCCGACTTTCTTTCCCCCCAAACTACCAGCCCGCCCTTAAGGATGGCCGGATACACCCAACGTAGTCGCTCCTTCGAGATCGAAACGAATGCCTTCGAAATCGGAATCCCCGATAATGGTCTTAAATACCTTCAATACGACAGTGAGTCCTCCGCGCCAACATGATCCCGCCCTTTGCGTTGCTTACTTTTTGCTTCGTAGTCGGTTAGTCGTGATCACGCATGTATTGTGCCGCAAAGCTGCCTCTAATCCAGCTCAGATATCAGGGACCTTTCGGACGCTCCGCGGCGCGACAGGGAGCAGGGCCTTCCGCGGACGAAAAAAATAAAATTATTCCACCATCTTCAGAACGTTGTCGCCGCGTCGTTATTTAGCTCGCGTATGGTGTACGACGGGCAAGCAATCGCCTATTCACCTGAAAGAATACGTTTCCCCGGAGGGCATGGTACAGGAGGATCGGTAAGTTTCTCTCATGTTTCTCCCTTCTCGCTGTATTTACAACATCCTGCCCCAGTTTATAATCCACCCCAATCAGCCGTCAATCGTCCCCCCTGGAACTCGCGGTGCCTACGAGATCAGACTAACCCCAACTGTCGGAGAGGAAATAAGCTTTCAGTGAGCCGCCCGTCCTCGTAGATTGACTCTCGACTAATTATGAGTAAAATAGCGACGTCAACGAGCTTATACGAGGTGGAAAGTCCTCGAACAAGACATTGGTAGCCACAAACGTGATGCAACTTGTCATGAGACAGGGCCCAAATATGCAAGTCAACCACCCCCCGTCCTTATTCCATATTCTGATGTTATCCACAGGAAACATCGCACAAATAACGGTCGTGCCTATTTTTCGGGGGCCCCTCGAACAACTAGATCGACCCCTCGTGGCGTTGAGCTATGGCAGGGGATATTTATGTAAGTTTTATCCTCCCTTTGCTCACACTCGTTGCTGAATAGTCTCATAGTTCAGTCCGTCCTACAATCGGCAAAATGATTCTAACGATGGATACGACTGTAGCCGCAGTGTATGTCTCTTCGTACCTTTTTCCCTTGCAGGGGCACTCATCATCATTTATTCATAGCTTCAAACACGGCCACCTAATCACCCTGTGTTTAGAATACCTCAAGCTGAAGAATGTTAATCAGTTGATCCTACGCCAAAACAGTTCCGACTACAAACGCCTTGAAAAGTTCCTGCTCGGCTTGCGGATCGTCGTGCAGACGGGTGGGACGCGTTCACGTACCAAAACGATCCGGGGCCTAGTCGAGAACGGCGGTGAATTTATGTTCTTGAAAAACGATGAGGAGATTTCCGTAGCGGTATGAAAACTGCTCATTAGGGTGTCATATGTTCTCACATCAAGTCAATAGCGCCACTTTCAACAGGCTCACAACATCAGGATCTCAAACCCCAAAATCGTTGGTATATGCTTGTCTGGGAGGAAGTCTGAACGTAAAGAGGTTGTTCCACTTGAGTTATGTATTGTCGAGCCCGGACAGCTCTGCAAGCGGATTCCCGAAGACATCCGTACCGACATGGTCCGGTTTTCAACCATGAGGCCAGGAGAGCGACGGGAGAAGATTACAACGGAGGTCTGACAAATTTTGCCCCATCTCTAATGCTTTCATACTGACTGTCACATTACACAGATTCACTCCTATGTAACATCAGAATACTTGAGGGAATCAGGCCTTCGAGTCAATCCGGAGCCACTTACTATCAAGAGCAAAATGCTGGATTCTCCCGGCATCATTTTCCATCAGGAGACACTTGTAGGCCATATTTCGGTTCACTTTGTTCAACCTCCAGTGACTTTCCTCCTTTTCTGTCAAGAATCCACAAGATGGAAAGTGGAATGTCCTCCGCAAGAGGCTGCAGAATCCAAGTGCGTTGACCAGCTGGGGCGTGGTAAACTTCATCTCCAATTCCCTCGACATGGATACTTGCACCAACATGATGCTGGAGCTTGCTGATTGCTGTAAGAATCTTGGTATGCTTTTCCGTTTCTTCATCTTCAAATTATTTGCTGATCATGTTCCATAGGAATGGGTAATGCACTTGTTTACTTCTAGATTGGAGCAGGCTGATAATTCTGATGCACAGCTGTTGGTAGACCTGTGGATATTGACCCTGGCCAGCCCTACACTCCGACAAAGGTCTGTGTTTGTATCATTCATCCTTTCTTATTTTCACTTTCTTCTAGGCTCTCGATTTGATGGTTGAGAAAGCAAAGAGAGCCGGTGTTGATGGGAGCAAATTTATCATTATCGTCATCCTTCCACAAGACGCAGGTCCGCTCCGAACTCAAATCAAGCATTGGGGTGACATTATCAATGGTAAGTCAATCTCATTTTAGCGATGCTGTTTTTCTAACTTGTAGCCAGGTATTCCAACACAGTGCCTTCGCGAACACAAGCTCTCGAATCCAAGGGATCCAAAATTCCGTCCCCCGGACAGCCAATATTGGAATAACGTCGCACTGAAGTTAGTACAAATTTTCCTTACTGCCATCACTCATGATTGACTTTCAAAGGCTGAACGTGCGTCTCGGTGGGCGTAACTCCCATGCAAGTTCAGCGCAGATCATGAGGCTCCTTCAGAGAGAGCCATTCATAATCATGGGTTTGTTGTTTTGTTCAATTTCCACAATCCTTACTCAAATTGACTACCAGGCGCTGATGTCGGCCACCCCAGTCCCGGCATCCAAAAGCCATCGGTTTCAAGTCTCGTTTATTCACACGACGAACACGCGACAGAATATGCCGCCCTTACAAGCATCCAAGCCCCCCGCCTAGAAATGATACAGGATCTCTCGCGATTCATAAAAACGGCACTCGAAAATTTCGTGGCAAAGAATAACACCCCGCCGAAGCGGCTCATTTTTTTCCGTGATGGAGTTTCCGAAGGCGAATATCAGAGAGTGGCAGAGCAAGAGCTTGTCTGGATCAGAGGTATATTTCGTTGTCTTTGATCCTTTGGTAACTTGCTGATTGTCTCCAGAGGGCATAGACGCTCTGTGGCTCGAGAAGGGTGTGCTCGGAAAGGTCCCCCAACCAATGATAACTTTCATCATTGTTACGAAACGGTGCATATTTTGTCTTTTCCTTCTGTGTTCTATGCTGTTCTGCTAATAACAGCCATCTTCCAGCCACCACGCTGTGTTCTTCCCGAAACGCGGAGCGTAGGTCTACCTGTTTGCTTCTCAAGGTATCTCGACTGAACGATTTGGGCCTTAGCATGCAGGACAGGACTGGGAACCTTCAGCCAGGCTGTGTTGTTGATAGCACGATCACTAGCCCAGATGGAACTATCAGGGATTTCTACCTGCAGAGTCATGCTGCAATTCAAGGAAGTGAGTTTGCTTTTACTTCGAGCTTTTGACTTACTCACTGATGCCTGCGTAGCCTGCCGCTCAAGCCACTATGTTGTACTTCATGACGAAATCTTCAATAATGATCTCAATAAGTTGGTCTATATCTCTTCAGCTCGTTGCAGCCCTGATTCAAGTGCATCACAGGATGCAGGACCTGGCCTACACCTTGTGCCATGTCTACGCCAAGGCTACTCGCATTGTGTCGATTCCTGCACCGGTCTACTGTGGGTCCTCACTTTACATCTAGTATTCAAATTTAAACTCACCTTTTGCTTCTCTCAGATGCCGATGTACGCCTTGTCAAGATTCGCTCTTTTATTATTACTGACATCCACTTTCATCAGCTGGTTTGCCAACGCTCCGCCTTCCACATGGACCCCCATGGACCTTTAAACATGGATGACGACACCGCGTCGACGCTGCACAGTGGCCCGGCCCCATTCGATTTGTCCTTGTGGCAGCAAGCGTGGAGGCCAACAAATCCTCGAATGGATAAAAAAATGTATTTCCTTTAGGCAATTCAACTGCCATCCTTGCCTAGTCATATATTTCCTCACTCCCCTCATCCCATTTCAATGACACCTGTCTTTTTTCTTCTGTGTTTCGTCTTTGACAATCTGGCCTGGCTGCTGCCTACCCTACTAGTAGGAATTTCATTCACATAATATCAACGCCACCCCATCTTGTAATCTACCCTACATTGGCATCCCATTCTTTTGTTCCGCTATTCATATAAAAGTTGTACCGAATACATACAATGTTCCTTTTTTCCCTAGCCCATATTCATGATATTAAAGCTCTTTCTTTCTTAACTCAAATTCTTGATGGTATGTGAAGTCAACCTTGATGATCACACATTCAGAGTTCCCTCAAGAATAGCGCTCTTATTTTAGTGGGTCTGCCTCTAACTAAGGTGCAGTTGAAATGATTCCCTTATTCAAGCTCGCTTCTTACCATGACACATGGATGCGATTCAGAAGCAGAACCTGGCGACACTTATTTCTGGATCTACTCTCTTCTCCACTTATCTTCTTTCGGATTCTACTGTCTACGAAGCAACAAGGTGTTCTCCAAATGATCAGCCACCTCAGCACTCCGACGTTCACATGGCCAGGGCATACTTATACTGGAATTCCGCCGCGTCCTGGGGCTTCTGGTATTCTCTTCTCTTCCCATTCCCTTCTCCTGCACGGTAGTGGGCTGAACCTAAGATGATCAAGCCAATCTTCGCATGGTTAACACTGTCACTCTCGGTTTTCTCATGCCATGCAGCAGGGCCAATGCATCACAAGCAGCCGGGGACGAAGCCACCGTCGAAGGTGGCTGCAGCTTGGTACGCTGGATGGCACGCAGGTGCCTCAGATTTCCCGCTCTCGAAAGTGAGCTGGGCCAAGTACACGCATTTGACGTTCGCCTTCGCGTGAGTCAGCCATCTCATCATGAGTCCGTGCGTTTTGATGACCAGGACGTGCAGAGAGACGACGTTCAATGGAGCCCTCGATTTGAGTGGCTCAAACCCCTCTGTTCTTCCCCAGTTCGTCAAGCAGGCACGGAGCAACGTACGTGGTGTATTATCCGAAATTCCCTTTGGGTAGACCAGCTGAACATGTCGCGTAGGGTGTCAAAGCCTTGGTTTCAATTGGAGGCTGGACGGGATCCCGAGGGTTTTCCGTCAACGTTGGCTCGGCGCAAAACAGAACGGCCTTCGTGAAGACAGTGACGGATTTTGCCACGAAATACGGCTTGGACGGGCTTGACTTCGAGTGAGTGACATATTCATCGGCCAGATCGATAGAAATCTGACGCATATACTCACCTCTAGCTGGGAATACCCCGCCAACCAAGGCATAGGCTGCAACACTATCAGCCCACGCGACACCGCCAACTTCCTATCCTTCCTGCAAGAGCTGCGGCAGCACCCCGTTGGGAAGACGCTCATCGTCACTGCCGCCGTTGCAACGCGCCCTTTCATCGGACCCAATGGTTCGCCACTCTCCAACATCGCCGGGTTCGCCTCCGTCCTTGACTGGATCGCTATCATGAACTACGACATCTGGGGTCCGTGGAGCGGCTCCGTCGGGCCCAACGCACCGCTGGACGACACCTGCACAACGGCGGCGAATCGAGCGGGGTCAGCAGTGTCCGCAGTGAAGCAATGGACGGCGGCTGGGATACCTGCGGCGCAGATCGTGCTAGGCGTGCCTGCGTATGGGCACGCGTTTCGTGTGAGGAAGGTGAACGCGTTCGTGAAAGGATCGACAACGAGCTTGGCTGCGTATCCTGCATTCGACACCAGTGATCCACCTGTCGGGGATAGGTGGGACGATGTTGCAGGCGTGGATGTGTGCGGGAATGTGTCGGGGCCAGGTGGAAACATAAATTTCTGGGGCATGATCACGCTAGGATACCTCAACCCAGACGGTACGCCCAAGGCGGGTATTCCGTTCAGATTTGACAGTTGCAGCCAGACGGTGAGTTTGACGCATATACCCACCTTTTAAAAAATTGCTAATGGACAACACCACTTGCAGCCCTACGCATACAACGCTACTTCCGAGATCATGGTCTCCTTCGACAACGCTCAGGTACGCTCTGGCTTCGTATTTCGGGAAGCGACGTCGAATTAATTTGCTCTTTGGTTCAGTCTTTCACTGCCAAAGGAAGTTTCATAAAGAACAACCAACTGAGGGGTTTCGCGACCTGGGAAGCAGGTGGAGACTACAAAGACATCTTACTCAATTCCATCAGGAAGGCCGCAGGATTCTGAACCCACCACGAATACGTGGTAGAGACATCGTGGCATCGTGGGTTAGTAGAGCCCGGGTTCTTGCATCGTCTGGCTGGTCTCCCTGAAAGCGGAAGACACCCTTATGTCCGCTGGAAAGGCGGCATAGAATTGTATACGCGACTCTAACACTTCACTGGTGTTGCCATTACGTAGTTGAAAAGTAACAACTGTAGACTGGTCTGAGTGCATTTTGTTGAATACACGAGCCAAATGCATGCTGCCCTTGGGAATTCGCCCATGCAAAGAATTAGTGAATGATTTCTCAAATATGCATGACATGAAGAGATAAGAGAGGCGAAGTAGAAAGGCCGTACAACATTCAGCATTCCAAGGCGACGAAACGACGAAGGCATCATCTCCGGCGCTCATAACCACGATCTCTTTCCCTCTCCTCCCTCCTCTCGCTGTCCCTTTCTCGCCTAGGCGACCTTGGCCTATCTCTCTCCCTCTCCCTGTCGCGGTTGCGATACCCACCATCTTCACGCCGTCGGTCTTCATCTCCTCTACCACCTCTCGACATATGA